ATAGCGCGATAGGTACGGCATATCTGTATGTACTCCACTCCGCCAAGTGGCTTAATCTCTTAACAGGCGGCAATAGCTAAGACACGCATGTCAAAGAGAAACTCAAGAGTCTCCATGATACAGTATCAACTGTTCACTTGGCCATGTCTAGATTAGTCCCTTTGGTGTAATACTATAGATTTAAACAACTTCAGTATCCTCTAGGTTGGCACATATGATTGCTCCACTCTGTGCCTTTGAGGCTAGCGCGTAAAGTTCCCCAGGTCGTTGTGACCGTATCGAATTGCACACCTAATAATGCATCGTACTAACATACATGAACGTACAAAGAACATTTCAATGACATTGAGTAACCATTGGCGAGTTTTTGAGGATATTCTGCATGAATACAAAAAGGTCACTGATATCCCGTACTCCGGAGGAATGGCGGGCAAGTCCAGATGAGAGCATAAACAACTACAACCTCGACATAAATCTTTTTTTCCGGATAATTTACGCGCCAGGTACCATGAGCAACCGAGTCACCCAAATTGACCCTCTCCAGATTCAGGCTCGGCATACAGGGGATGCAGACCACACGCCAATACACATGGATAAGATATCCCAAGGCGCCCATAGCCATTGCCTCTCTGAGAAGCCGAAGGCTGATAATGCCATTCAAGAAACGCGGAGTCAGGCCGATCAGTTGCCCCCTGTCATGCGGGGACCGCCTTCGGACAAATTTATAAAGCGTTTCAGCTGCCGCCTCGCAGGATCCGTTACTGTTGTTGAGCGTATCGAAGACCGAACCAAGATTGTTCATATCCGTGAATTCTCGAAATTCTCGAAGGATAAAGCTGATTGTTGGTTGCAAGTGCTTCGGTCGACTCATCACCCCAATATTACTTCCGCAATAGAAATATACAAGGACCATGGAATGACATACTTTGTTGTCGATGACCTACCTTTGACCCTGGAAAATCTGGCAGCCTGTGAAGTGCTTCCGTCTGAGCTCGAGTTAGCCTCCATACTTAAACAGGTATAATTACCTCAATTTTTGGGTGGAAATTCATCACACTGACTACAACAGGTACTTGAAGGGATATGTCACTTATTGGAGTCTGGCTTTGAACATGGAGAGTTGAAGTGCTCAAACATTCTTGTAGGGCAGGACGGTGTTATCAAAATAGGTATGCAAATAGTTCTGTTGACGTCTTGATATTATCCTGTTCACTAAAACAAGCAGCGGCTTTGGAACACTGCAGTAGACGCCAATCACGTATATCCGATGTCAAGAGTATCAGATCCATGGCGAACATAGCAATGTTTCTTATGCAGGGGTACGTCAAAGCCGACGGTGCCATTGGCGTTGACAATACACATTGGCAGTCGAATGCCCTAGAGTTCGTGTCCGCAACAACGTCGGTAAAAAGCGTTCAAGAATTGAGAGAGGTTAGCTAGGCTACGTTACAAACAAAAGAACTCCACTAACGTAATTAAACTTTAGTGTGATCTCCTGACTAAGCACCAATGCTCTGCAGGCTCATTGGTTGCGCTTGCGCGGCTCGCTTTTTATACCACGCGAACTTATATTTCGGAATTGTGGCAACTATAACATATAAGATCAACACCATAGCATGCGATGACTATTGGCTCAAACACTTGGGAAGGGCAAAGATATTTCACTATTTGTATCCAGTGGGTGTTGAGCCCATTGCTTTCCGGTAAATGAGAGGGTACTACCGCATAATAGAAAATCGTCCTCAAAACCTTCTTTATTTACTACCAGTGTTGCTACGATGAAGTATTTGAATACATGATATTTCCGGCATTGTAGTACAGTCCCTATCAAGACACAGTGAACCACCGTCGCCTACCTTCGGCTTCTGCGACGCTCCGAGTTCCCAGGTACCGTCTTCCAAACATATCAAAATTTCAGTCAGCATTCCAACATTTCATACGATACTATTGAGAGTGTATACTATTGAGAGTGTATACAGTGATCTGCGAAATGAGCCTGCCCCCCCAGACACTGTTTTGTTGTTTAAGATAGTTATCCTTGGTTGCCGGCTTACTAAACAATGTTCCTTGCAATGATTGGCTTAACTAAGTATATCTTCAATATAATTGGCTTAGCGTTCGCGCCAAGAATCCTTTAAATCAAATGAGAAGTATCTTGCTGGGCAAGCTGATTTCGCAGCTCACTGTACTATTGAGAGTGTATCAGTAGACAGGCGATGCTTCGACAACCGTAGCACTGTCGGCCCAAAGGCTTCAGCATGAGGGCTTTTATCTCGCTCTGATATTGCAGATACCGCTCGATACATTTTGCAACCAATTCATGAAAATGTTGTTGCTCTCCGGCATATGGAGCAGATCAACACAGTCAGTCCGTCCTCGTGCTTCGATCCCGATTGTCTATAGTTACTTACTGCAAGGCAACTAGTACCTAGCATGGCTTGTTCCATTACCTTTTAGTTTCCCTAACGAGGCTAGTGATGCAGCAAAACCTGCCTTAATGGATTGATAGAAAGGTTGTTAGGGCATCATAATCATCATTGCAACAGCTCCAGAAGCAGTTCGATACATAGACCCAGTACACTTGACGAGAACACACCAGGATCTAGGAAGGTTGAAACAAATGTAAGAAGCAAGGTCGTTTGATATTGGTGACTGCTTGCCATCACAACAGGGGCCTTGCCAAGTGAGCGCGGTACATTCCAGCTTATCATAACTCACCAGAAGTCGTAATGGCCGCTTAAGAGCATCGTTAATAACTCATATGATTCGCCCCCGGCGCGAATACAGAACCAGGAAAGACTGCTCTTCTATTCCTTCTCGTTCCGTCTCCGAAACTGTACTGCCCATCATCTTGAGAGCCCAATGTCTCGAATGCGTGGAACCCTTTCCAGGATACGTACACCCGTGTTTTCAGTACGTAGATTTCTTTTGCATCCGGGAAGCTTTCTCATTCGACCCTACCAAAGTCAATTCGTCCCACTCCGAATGGCGCGTGTCATTAGTGGAATCAGACTTGATGCGGGTTTTCGAACTATTTCCCGGTTTCACAACATCCTCATTTCGAAAGCCTTCACTCACCGGGGCATCCTCAATGTCTGCTCCATTTATACTCTTTAAATACCATTGATCCAATCCAGATTCCATGATGGGCTGATACTCTTGCTCTGAGATCCTCACCCCCTTATGAAAGTTCTCACGTATCGTGTCCCTCACATGATCCCGAAGACTGTCTGTCGCAGAGACTAATCAGAGATATTAGTGTGTAATCCACTAAGATTGTTATGCACCTTACTCATCACTAAGGTATCACCCCGCTGGTCGCAGGTGTTAGGCAGTCTCTTAATTAGATCGCCGGATGTTTCCAGCGAGATAATGGCTCGATAATTGGGAACTTCCCGGTAAATGCGTACTCTCTTGTGACGGCCAACTGCGAATATATTCTGCTCAAGGCCGTACCGGACATAGATAGAGATATGCAGTATCTAAAAGATTGCCCACGTCAGTTATACATATACATATTTCAGTGATAACTTCGCTCACATATCCGTCGTCCATGATATCGTCTTTCAACAAGTTATTGAGCATAGCCAGAGCTGGAGTCATCTTGTCGATCGATTCTACCTGCCACACCAGATGTAGCCGCCGGGCTTGTGACGTGCAGGTATTATATCCGTATATTGTTTTCTTCAGATAAGGGATCACTGCCGCAATTCCAGAGCCACTGGCAAGCACTAGGATGGTTTCATATCGGCCGACATCTTCACTCAATCCATGAGGACCAGTGAACAAGGCCAGGAATGATAAGGAACTACCAGCAGCATCTGGAGCATAGCGGCAAAGATCGGCCGTCAAGCCACTACATGGCTGCACTAAAAGCTCAATGCTGTTCTGTGCATCCTTCGACCAGGAGACAACTGTGAAAGGATGAGATTGCGTCCATGACCATAGACTAACTGATGGCATCCAGATATTGATATACTGTCCTGGCTCGACCCTGATGGGGCGTGGTAGAGAAATGCGGATATGAATGGCATTTACCAGGAGTCCGCTGTTCTCAGCTTTATTCGTGCTAAATGTTACTATGGCTCTAGGAGAACCACGCCTCGCGAATAGACCGTTTCGATATAGAAGGGTCGTTAATTGCAGCAAAAGGTTCAGCCCAAGTAGCCCCAATGCAATCAATAGATATAACCTCGACCGACTGGATTTCAGATGTTGCCAGGTACTGTAGACGCAAAATCCGGCCAGAAATTGGTGTCCGCGGAGAAAGATCTCATAAGACCATTGACGAAACCATCGATTGGAGGTAATGATCATTATTAACAATGATATTGCAGCCTGTTAAGTTAGTGCGAGCGACCAACTACTAGGAGCGGAGCATACAAGGATCGCAAATAGATTGGGTAGCTCACGGAGCGAAAAAGTAAACCCTCGGGCTTGGACAGTCATAGATATGTGAAACGACATCAGGGCAAGAGCTGTCCAGCCAGTTATGCGATGAATCTTCTGGCACGTGCTCAATGCTATTCCTAAAATGTCAGCTGAGTAGCTCAAGTGAATTGCAGACATAGGGAAAATCAGGTTGATCAAAGATAGTTTCCCAGCCCTGGAACCAGACTCGTTCCATGAACCTATGCCAAAGAAAATTGAGAATATATTAAGAAAAGCGCATAGCAAGCTAAGTAAAACACCAGCTCTGGTCCATGGGCCGCAGAAGCGATGCCTATGAATAACACAAGGCAACACCAGGTGTCGATGATAAATGACAGACAGTAAACTCTTCCATTGGGCGAGGAAAGACAGGCAGTGCTTCAAGGAAAGGCAAACGAAGATACTGCTGGCGATGATAGCATAGATATAGACTATATCCATTGCCACCCTAGAAGAAATGCACAATGGTCAACAGGTATACTGATATTAGTGCAGCAGAGCGAGCCGAAAGGAGTAGTAGAGCTGTGACTTTGATAGAAATGATAGAGATATTATTCTTGCTTCCTCGATGAAATACAGATTGCCCAATTCACAGTCACAGGATACCGTGTCATGGACCCATCCAGAATACACTAAGTCAGAGGTGGACAACTCACTTAATTCACCTTTATTGCTACATAAAAGCCCGCATGACTGCAGTGGAGAGTAGTTTGTGACTCATACAGTATGGCCTGTTGCCTTATTTGTTCTGCAACCTTCTTTCTCTAATCGACCAACGTTTTGTAGCATTAAAAATTTACCACAAGGCCGCAGAGTAATGTAACCCTTTAATCATGTCTAAAAATGTTGCGCCCCTTACCAAAGGCGCTAGTTTCCGTTCCGCATTTTCCGCAATTTGGTTTTAAGCACCGCCCCCGGGATTGGTCCGTACGAACCTAAAGCTCATCCATAGGCAAAAATATCAATAAAAATTTCTTTTACGATCTATAGTGGTAATGTGAGGGCGAGAAAAAATAATGATGGAAGCCCCGGAGATAGATGTAGGCCAAATAAACGCTAACAAATTGCTAGCCTCAGAAATGTATCATAAGTGTAGCTTTGTCGAAATATTATACAATCCGAGCATCCATACTCTACCTGTGAGCGCTTTGCTAATAGTTTAGCTTATCAGGGCATCAATTCTATGAGCCCAGAGCGCTTGTGCCAGCCTTTTGATGGACAAAGGAATTGCATCCTTGTGTTATGGCTGTTCACTCACCATTTCATGATGGCAGGACCTTAAGAGAAGCCATGACCGATTACACCCTAAAATGTTAGCGGTTACGTAGTCCCCATTTTTCTTTCTGAGATTTGTTCGGTTCTCGTGTTCAAGAGTGTTCTTCTGTTGCTTTCCTCGCCTTTCTTTCCGTGTGGGGCAGGGGCGGAGTTTGAGTCGCACTATAGCATCCCATGGGTGATGTTTACAATCAGCACCTTGGGATGTGTGGGGAATTCACAAATCTTCGGTTTACAAAGCGTCTGCCAAGCAGCAGAACAATATAAAAGACCATTGGCTGCTGCTCTACTTGAGTCTAGTGAATCGAGCGCCGCCTCACTCATGGATGACTTGGATCCCGAACGACAACTGGCGGCAGAGCAGCAGATTAAGTACCAAGGTACCGCTATAGTTGAACTAGAACATATTTCTTTTGATCCGTTGATAGACCAAGAGGTCGACCAAAGAAACGTCGAACGACTGAGTAAAATATTCCTCCAGAATGGCTGCCAACGATTGAACGTTCGGAATCACGTCACTGCAACGATCCCCAGGCGGTTTCTAGACCGCGTGCGCCATGCTGCAGGCCTGACCCTTGACCAGCTGAGAAGTCTTCGACAAAGCCCCCCCCGTCTTGACTTCTCAGGCACGGAAGTAAAATGTCTCCACGGTAAACATCGACTCAAAGCTGCTGCGGAAGTATTACCCCACTCAGATCGGTGGTGGACTGTCGATCTCTATCTAGATGGTCTGAATGCTGCCTCAGACCTTCTCCATGCCTTTCTAATCGTTGCATTCAGATATCAGTTCGGATCTGAGAAACGTCCTTGCCGAGGAGTATGGGAATGAAAAGCCTCCTTCCGACGGGGAAATCTATCGGAAATTCCGCCATTACCAACGAGATAACAACGTGCTCTCGCAAGAGCGCTGGTTGTTGCGTTTGTCGGACAACAAAGTTCGGCGGATCAGACAACTTGATTCTCATGACAACAGGCGTATACGTGCAGCCTTGGACAAGTTACTTCCCATCCCAGGGCTCTGGGATGGGTTAAGCATTGGAAGTCTTAACAATGTTTTAGCTCTGAAATGCAATGAAGTTGGATCCCCATCCCAAATTTGGTTGTGCACATTCTCACCTTACGACTAGGAGATTATTCAATACTTCACACATATAAAGAACTTCTGGGCAGCGCTTGCTAGCCATGATAGTGATAAGATGGCACGTATTGACACCTATACGGTCGAAAAGCTGCAGCTTCACGCTCCTCGAGCCTCTAATAATGACAGACATTACGTGGCTGGCAAAATTCTCAGTGGCGAAGTTTTCTCCTCCTTTAGTCAGTCAGAGCGTACTGTTATACTGAGAGAACTGATGTCTGCCGAAGCTTGCGACGGTATTATACCGTCCCTGGCAACATTTTTCCACGATATCAGCTACTTGAAACTCTGCGCCGACGGCGTGAAACGGTTGGTCAAATTGGATGGTAAATATCCAACTGTTCGAAGCGCGCTGGTCCACTATTTTCAGAAGCGGGTCCCGGGTGATAATACCTGCCTCATTCAGACTTCAGAGTCCTCTTTTCGACGACAGCCAGGTTCCGAAGAGGAGCGTTTAGCGATAGGCTATCGCCAGATCTGGATGTACGCAATGCGGCATTATCCGGCCATGGCCAAGGATATCAAAGACGAAGCAAGGTCCAAGACGGCCCAAGCAAAAGGAGAAGCAAGGCCTGACGAGCACGTGGTATATAACATGGCCATTCTTGCACGAAAGCTGGGCTTCTGTACTCCGCAAATCAAGGTCATCTTGAAGCAATCGCCCGATTTGCAGATCGCGTTAGACGCCCTGTTTAGAGCTCGGAAGCCCACGGATTATACCTATGGCGATGAAACTATCAAGAGGCTTAGTAGGCAAATTGTGCGTTGTTTTGCGCATGCTACTCCAAAAGAAACGCATCCTGTGAATTCCACTACTGGCCAAGCGGACAAATTGCATGAGCGCCGTGGAGCACCCCCGAAGGCTGTCCAACCGCTGGATTGCCCGCATCTTTTTCTGGACCGACTACATTCGCCAGTTGTGAGGCGCACCGTCCTGTCGTCCCTTGAGGTGAGACGGTCTATATACTATGCTTTCTTCGGCAAGCCCTCTTCCCGTGGTGCCATTCCAGATCCTGGGTCGTACTCGCCTTTGTTTTTCTCCAACGGTGAACCAGATATAGCAACCGATGTGTCCTCCCACAATGTGTCTAGAAGCAGTTCTGTCACAGAATCACTCTATGATGACCAGTCGCGATCAGATGCCCGGGAAGAGCCACGCCAAAGACGGCATGGTAGAAGCAATCGAGAGCGAGAACAAGGGCTTGACCGGCAACAACAGGTGTCCCGTCTATCTTCCTCCGAAGAGCCTCTTTTGCAGAGATCAACGACGAGTGAATCTGCCATCCCCCAAAGCATATACAGAGACACCTTGGATACATCTGACCCGGGAGTCCAGGTGAGCTCGCAGAGGAACAGTCGATGGCAGGCGGCTGGGGAAGAAAATCGCACTGCCAGAGAGGAACGGGGGCTTCTGGATGTATATGATGATGACCTTTCAAACTGCACAGAAGAAACCAGCGCACAAAACCTTCTTGATGCTGAGCACGAGCTCATGGCCGCACTAGTATCGGCGCAGCCTCCTCAGGAGGAGGAAGAGGAGGAAGAGGAGGAAGAGGAGGAAGAGGAGGAAGAGGAGGAAGTGGAGGAAGTAGAGGAAGAGGAAGTTAATCATGCTATGGAACGAGAGCCTACAGGCATGGACGACGACGATATATGGAGCGACATGGAGTATGAATATACCAACGCACAGAGTCTTGATGATCCTGACCACACGACCATGGCCGCGCTAGTGCAGGCTCCAGTCGGACATGAGGATAACCATGCTATGATGCCAGCTACACTGCCAAGCCAATCAAACTTGATCAGAAGTCGACCCAAAACAAAAATAGCGAGCCGGCGACCATACCAGTCAAATCAGAGTGGCATTCGACGTGCAATCAGAAAACGACGGACAGCTCAAATTCAGCCAGCCATATGGATTAATCCTGCAAGCCCAGAGCTCAATGCAGCAGGACGACCCCAATCAAATGCCTCACAGGCACGCAGGAAGCATATACGGCACTGGAGAAGAGAGATTTTTAGAGAATTCAACTTACTTCGTATGTCGACCATTGCTATTCCGGGTGACATTGGCGACGATGCTACAGGGCGGGTACCAAATGAGACGGAACATCAGCCAGCCACGGAAACGTCGGAGCAAGTCTCCCTCACGGGGGAAACTCCGGATAAGGCCATTCCAAAGGAAGTGCAACACGGAGATTTCCTTCGGGAACCGCAAGAGATACTAGTTGGGGACGGCCCATGGCAGGCTACACAGCCAAGTCATGAAACAGATGAAAGTATCCCACCACAGCCGATACCGGCCGGACCGCCAGATATCCCTTCAGAGGACCGATTAGTCGACGGTAGAGAGAGTCTCGGAGGATATAATGAGGAAGACGACAAGGTTAATTCCCATGAGCGAGCAGATGGACAGTTGAAGGCTGAACGGCCAAGCTATGAAAGGTCTGAAGAAAATGATTCAACGCAGCCGACATCGGCCGACCCGCCAGCTATTCCATTTGTCCACGACGGCGAGACATTTGAGGGACAGAATGAGGATGTCCATGAAAGGCGAGTTTCCCAAGAGCGAGCAGATGCTCTCTCTCAGTTACAAACGCCTAGCGCCTCGCTCGATCATGTTAGCGCTCGACCTGTAACGGAAATTCCGCCCGATTTTCCCACACTAATGAGAAAGTTTCGTGAAGATGCAAGTGAAGTGGATGATGAAAGCGTAGCCGGTGCGAATACTGCTGTACAAGACCATCCCTGGCAGGAACCCGGACGAAGTCCGTCGATGACTGGCACAGATAGCGAAGCCACAATAACTCCTTCTCAACACTCTACGCGGGACAGTGGCCGTTATACAGATGATGTACCAAGTCCGGGTCGAGGCCAGCAAGAAGCTGTTTATAGGCAGCAAGCTGAGGATTGGTTGTTCGATACCTCACATTTAGCGGGAGAGCCAGAAGATGAAGAAATGGGAGACGCCCCGGGCGAACCGAATCCTATGCCTGATACCACGCCCAACCAAGGCCTTAAAAGAAAGCGAATGCCGGAGAATGACCCGACCACGGCGTCAGAGGTAAATAGGTTTGGCTCTCACGCTCGAGCAATTGACGTGCGGCTGTCTAAGCAAGCCAAGCTACTTCCTTCCAGCCAGGGCGATCTATCAAATACGGCCAGTACTGAGAGGGCTGAAAATATTTCCAACAAGAAGCTGGAATTACCCGCTGCAAGTCCCCACCAAGCCCCGATTGCTCCCTCCAAGAACAGAAGAACCAGACAGAGTGTCATGATTATGTTCTATACATGGGACCACAAGCAGGGGAATTGGATAGTGACCGACAAGGTATGGGTGAGTCCTGGGAATCCCATTGAAGCCCAGAATATCGCCGAGAAGTATAAAAGCGCGAGATTATATCATTTGTGTAATCGCATGTTACGCAAGACTGTTGTAGAGAATTGTGTTCGTGATGTTATCTCGGATGGTACATGCACCATTTTTATCAGATTCGGGAGGGACACGAGGACGACCGACAGAATGACCGAGGCTGCGGTGGCTGCTACTAGGGGAGGCCTCTCGGAGGAATAGGTCAGTTGTTAAAACACGTTGGTTCAATTGGGCAGACTGTGGTCGAAGGACGCTTGGGGCCGTGAGAATGCATCCTGGCGACCTTCCAAGTCCTATGTCTGGATTAGGCATCGGCTGATGGTCCTCCGACTCGGCTTGTCGCACGACAACCGTCTTCCGACCATGTCAGACTGCCGAGCAGGGCCCTCCGAACGAGTTTGTCGCACGACTGCCGCCTCCCAGCTAAATCGGTCTGGGGAGCAGGGTCCAGCGTACCCGGTTCTACGTCAAAAGACCCACGCATTTGGTCTGACGACCTGTGTCGTTGGAATCCTGGCCTCAGCTCGACTCCACCCGACTTCTTTGTTCTCTAGACCACACGCGTAGGTCTGCTCCTGTCGTAGGGCCTCACTCCTATATCACAAATAGACTGAGGACTTCATTCATATCTCTTATATAGTCATAGCATATCATTTGTCGTGCGCCAACCGGCTACAGACATGACGGCACTACGTTGAGGTACTGGCAAATGGTAGGCAGCTTATGACCTGGCTTTCTGTTGCCTTTATGGATAGGTCGTTTCTACTCGGTGGAATTGGTTCATGGTAGCTAATTCTGACCAGCCTAAATCAGGAATGCATTTTTCACTCTTCCTTTCCAGACTATCACTGTTCATCAGCTCTCCGCTAACCCGTTTCTTCGACCTTCTTCGACCGATCGTGATTCAGCACCTTGCGGCGCCGGTGTGTCTGCGCCAACTTCCACCGACAGTACAATCCCAGCGCATCCTTCAGTAACACCAAGGCACATCCGCCAACCACAGCCCGGCCCCAGCGTGTCCGTAGCAGCCCCAGCTGGACCTTGCCCAGTGTAGATGGGGCCGTCCACGAAGTGGGTAGAATATACTTTAGCAGTCCGCCCATCGAGGCAGATATGGCTGGAAGCGCAAGCGGTCCGAGGTTAATGTCCGTCAGACCGTCTAAGTGGCCTACCAGCCCATCTCGTCGACCCAAGCCCAAGGGTTGGCCATTTCCACCATCCTGGTTCTGCCCTTGTCCGCCACCCTGCGCATTTCCCCTGTTTAAGACCTGCGGCCCGTCTTCGCTGCCCCTGCGTAGCTCCAGATTGATCTCAATCTGAACCCCGTTGTCGTCACCGGGTCGGTCTGGCTCAGGATGCTCGGGCGGTGCATTATCATCGTTGACATCCAGCTGGTGCGGCTGCACCTCCGCAATCCATCTTCGCTCTAACTTGCCAAACATTCTCTCGTAGAGAATGTCGTAGAAGCTTTGTAGATACGGAAGAGCGGCAAACGTGACTGCTGCACTAGGCGGCCAAACTTTCAACTCCAGCACCTGTCCTGTTTGATGTGCGGTGAAAACCATCACGGGGATGGCGGGGAGGAGACCGTATGCGTAACGTGTGCTTAACAAGCTCAACATGAGCGGGATGAGTGGCAACCCCAGATTGAGCCCCGGATTCCATACCCCATCTGCCGTTTTCTGCAAGATCTGTCGAGCCTCGTCTGTGCCAAAAACAAGATACACTGAGTATAGTCCATGCGCATAGCACCCCGCCCACACGGTTTGCCCCAGCATGAATACCATTCCTGGGAGGACCATCTGACGCGCGAGGCGCTTAACCAGCCGCACTATATCCACAACATAGCTTCGGGGACGGGAAACGACAATTCTTTCCTTGCATTGCGGGCACAGCATCTCTGCGTCATCGCCGTTGCGCCTCCGCGATTGGGGATTTTCGAGATCCGCCAACCAGTCGAGCAGGCAGGCTTCATGAGCAGTCAAAGAGCAAGGACACGGTGAGCGCCAGGGTGAATTGTAAGGAGAGACTTCCGTCTCATCTGCCAGGCAAATCCAACATCTCCGTAGTTTTGACCAGATGCACTGAGAAGAGTTGGACTCGTGGGGGAACCATGAACAGTGGCGGTTTTGGGGGTGCCCTTGAGCAAAACGGTAACGCTGGTTTCACATGATCTTGTAGCTGAGGCACTACATGTTGTGTCCCTGACTTTGCTGTCATGTCGGATAGGAGATGTACTGTTGCTATCCGATGACTGTGGCTGGATAGAGGCCGAATAGCCTGGGATGGGAGCCATAATGTAGAGATAATGGAAATTAAATACAAAAGAATTAGAAAAGTGGATGGAGTTATAGAAACAAGCACTACACAATGTGCAGATAATATAGTCAAGTACGTCGGTCAGCAGAGGGTGGGAAGGTGAGGATCCTGGAGGCGAGGACGGAGGGAAAAAGGATGTGTCACATTGCCCATTTGGAAGAACGGGAGAAGCACTAAATTGGCATTCACTTTGTCTTGCAATGTAATCCCCAATCTCTCTCTTCCCATAGGAAGTAAAAATACGCGTCATTACTCTTCATAATATTTGAACATTCTATTGCGATGTATCGATGTGACTACTCGATTGACTTTATCCTTGTCGGTCCACCCGCGGAAAATGAGATGGTAATGAAAGTAATATATGACAATACCGAGGATTGGTAGCTTTCTACTGGCTCATGTAAGTGTATGAAGACCTTGCCTGTTCTGAAATAGTAAGGGGCAGCCCAAGGGCAAATACCAAATACCTGATCGCTTGCTTGAGACCCCCCATCAGGTACCATATTGTCAATACAGGCTCCGTACATATGGTTGGTACAGAATAATGCAATGCACCTATAAACGGGATATTAGTTGACGCTGTAAGTCACAGAACTCCTACTTCCACTTCCCCACCATTGGAGCATATAGTTTGTCGATATCTGGCCATAGTACGTACCACCATTCAGCAATTGGTCAGTCTTAACTTCTACAATCAGCATGGGTCATGATACGTATGGCACAAAGAGGGCGATAAGTAGCGAATAAACAAACGACTAATCCTCCTGGCTCTAGCTACGCTTCTAAGCGTTGGGGCGCGCTGCCGATCCAGCTTGACTTCGCTTCAACCTAGCCCTGAAAACCGAAGGAGGTAGGGGCCAATCGAGGCACCAGGGAAGTTGCTTATGCTACTAGCTGCCTGGCCAGGCTAATCGTGTATCATTGGTCGAATTGAAAAGCTATGTCGTACAACCCACTGGCAGACGCCCTCACAAATTTCTGCTTGTCAGCTTGGCGCAGCAATTGGGGATGGGCCTAGCCCCAGTTTCTCTGATAGCAAACATACTCTCATGAATATAAGAAAGATGTCCCGTCTGGCAGTATCATCGTGGCTATCAACGCTCTTTCCTTTCCCTCGCTCTGTTTGCATATCCATACCAGACGAACGCACCGAAAACCGATATTAACATCTAAAGCGATCCTCTGGTATTATCGCAATATGGCCCAGGAAGCTCGACGATTGCTCCCTGCCAAGGAGGCCCCACGTCGGCTCGAGTTGTCTCCTGCCAAACCTCGGATGAGGCGCCGGAATGTGGCTTGTCGGCACTGTCGTAAACTTCATGTTAAGGTCTGTCGCATGACATGCGGATGAAATACGGACTCACATGAAATAGTGTGTTGGGTCTCCATGTTGCAACGCGTGCAACAAACTTGGAATTAGGTGTGAACCGCACCCGGACAGACGCAGGAAAGAGAGACTACACGACGTCGAAGCGAAACTAAACGACGCCGAAGCGAAACGACGCGACGCCGAAGCGAAACTACACGACGCCGAAGCGAAACGACGCGACGCCGAAGCGAAACTACGCGACGCCGAAGCGAAACTACGCGACGCCGAAGCGAAACTACACGACGCCGAAGCGAAACTACGCGACGCCGAAGCGAAAGTACACGACGCCGAAGCGAAACGACGCGACGCCGAACTTCTGTACGAAATCTATAAACCGACCGGCCAAATGATGTCCGTGATTTGACCGGCAGAGTGAAGCAAGCCTCAACAATCGAGAATGCGATAAGCGAACTTGCAACAAATTAACCAGTCAATCGATTGTGTTTTCACTGTCTGATTTGATCTGCATGTATAAATACACGATTTGCGGATATGAGAAGGATAATGGTCGAATCGGGTCTACCCTTTGTCTGGCCATTTTGCTTCTATTGCTTACAGCTCGAGAGGGTCTGCGGCGATCACAAACTACCATCAAGGTATAGAAGAATGAAATTTTCGAAGTCGGCATACTATGAGCTGAAATTTAGGGGATTCGGGAATCTGAACAGATTGGAGGTGAATATTATGTTGTTCTATGGCTTCCATATCTCCTGCTAAAGTTATTGCCTACCTGCTTTGTTATTTACTTGTATTTTCCGGCTTGAGTTGCTGTGACTATTTCGCAAAACCCTGATCCATTTAAGCTCCATAAGAGTCCTTTCCGTAGATTTTTCCTGCTTGCAGTGCTATACTTTTCACTGGGAAAGCGTCACGTGGTAACAAGCTGGAGTCTCGGCCATCTCCTCATCTGGCGTTTGTGCCGGCCGTATGTGTACCGCATCATAGCTTGAAAAATGGACAACCACACGGAGTAGCGGTGAATGCCCCTGTGATCACGATATACGCATGGGGATAGTAGCCGACCGGGGGTGAACCAGGCGATACCATAAAGTTGCTCGACACCGAAACCCATGCAGTGCTATCACTGTATTCATGAACAGTGTGGCGACCGTGCCCGCGCCATGTCCACTTCTCTGATTGGTGTCAGTGCCATGTCCACAGGTTTGATTGGTAGCAACCGCTCCTCCTTCAGGCTACCTGCGCCTGCGCCATGTCCACTTCTATGATTGGTGTCAGTGCAATGTCCATACTTTTGATTGGCAGCAACGGCTCCTCTTTGACGCTAGTGCAGTGTCCGTTCTCCGATTGCTGCCAGTGTCCGCGTCTGGAGGGGCCGTGGGGCCACTGTTCGCGTGTGATTGGTGTCTGTCATGTCCGCACAAATAATATTCGTGCGAGTGAAACGTCCACCGACTGCTAATGCGCGATTCCCCGAAGCTTTCTCCAACCAAGTGCAATGTGTAAGCGCCCAGTTGCTAACGTGTACTCCGTTCTCAAAGGACCGAGGCCCAAGCGCCCGGCAGTCTTACATTCTCCAATGAAATACCTGGACAAGGGACAGGCGCCAATAGGACGCACAGCACAGGGAACCACCGGTCGCATATTCCGCCGCGAAGCTTAGGGGCTTGCAAACCACTCGTAAGTACGGTTTGTCGATCGACAGCTCGGAATCTTCCCCGGCCAGGAACAGAGCGTAGTTTGGTTAACTCCAGAGTGACTTGGGGTCTGTGGGAGGGGCAGCATGTTGGGTGCTGCGGCCCCACGAGCTTGGTCGGCGGGATGTACCTGATGAGTAATGCCGCCATGCCCCTATAATTAGGTACCTGGGGCCGGTCACTGGGACGGGACTTTTTCGCGAACAGCCTAGTTCTTCCGATATGCCATGCAGCCCGTCTCACTGTCCCAAGCCATCGACTTTGCCCGGCTTTGTCAGGGCCTCGAAGTCCTTTCACTAAACACACTAGTCAAGCAATACGGCGCATTCAAGATCACAAACCACGGGATCTCGTCACGCGCGAGGAATGGCTGCTTCGCTTACGTAGGCTCCGCCAGTAGTGCTGCTTCATTCTCGCAGTCAATGCTAACAGCCGTGGTCAGAGTAAATCCGCTTTCGAGCGACCGAACAATCTCAAGTCAGCTGACCCCGCCTTTTCGCCGCTCAAAGGGGAAACGGTCAGAGGCACTGCAATCCCCAAAGAAAGCCTAAATATCGCAAAGGATAAGCTAGGCAATTATCCACCGGTGCAAACATTACACAAGGTGATTCACCTAGTGGCGTTCGTTGGCTGTTTTCTAAATCTCGGCAGGAACTAAAGGATTTTACTCCCCGCCTGTTAGAAGGACTATCTCAAACTTTGAGGCTCGAACCGTCGCTCAATTCCCTCTGTACAAACGGCGAGGTCGAAATTGCTCTTCACCATTACCCCAACATAACAGCTGTTCCAGAGAGGAATCCGGAGCATCGAGATTGGAGTCTTCTGACTCTGCTCCTGCACGAGGACACGGGGATTAGCAACGGGCTAGAGGTTGCTGAGTTACCTGGTCGGAAATTCACCCCTGTCGACCCAGGTAACGGCGAAATCACGGTACTTGTGGGGAGCATGCTACGAAGACTAGCCAAGTACTATTGTTGGGAGGACATCCCGTCCTGTGTCCACCGTGTCTCCGGCACGGGCGAGCGATACAGCATCGCATATTTCCTCCATATCAACGATAGCACACGATTGGCTGAAGACGGCACCACCGCGGGAGACATACGGAGAATGTGGGAAACCCAGTCCAAAGTGAAGAACTAGCAGAATGCCTGAATCCGATTGTCTGGCGTCATGCACTTCCGTCCTGTACATATATGTCCTCGTAATCTATTCGCGGGGGATCATTCCCGTAGTACTATCCTGAGGACAGTGTCGTGGACACCGTAAAGAACTTCCTGTACCTTAGTGCGGCTTCTTATTCACTTCTCATACTCCTGTATCTCAAGAATGCAACATGTCTACTATTAATTGCCTTCGTCCTGGCTTGAGATGGGTCACCCCTCCAGATGCGATTATGTAGGGGGGCAGAAGGGTTCGGTTCCTGACAACATGTCAAACTGTCTCAAGATTTGTGCGTAGCGATCCAAGAGAGCGGTGCCCAGACACGTCCACCAGTGCTCCCGTCCAATTCGACGGTAAAGAGCTTTTGCGTCGCGTAGATGACGGTGTGCTTCATTCATATCGCCCCGCTCAGCTGCAATGGTGCTGAGCGAGTATTCTATCAACATCTCTACGAACCCCGTAACTTTCCCGTGCTGCTCGCAATATCGTGCCGGACTCCGTGTCGCTTCCCAAAGTGCATTTGCATCATCTAACCGGTTCATGAGAGATGCTACTAATGCCCTTCCTAGGTAGACCCGGAGCTCTTCGAACCGGGAGACCCAATCACGCTTGGCCAGATTGCGATACTCCTCGTGCAGGGCGGCGTACGTCATATCAGATTCCCTCAGGGCCGCTTCGCGGCTGTCGAAGTGTGTCTCGCTTAGACATCGGCAGACAAGTGTTTCAGCCACCAATAGCCGCAGCATCCGATGCCTTCTCGTACGCTCTGCATGGATGCCCCCCTCAGTGAGCTTGAGAAGACCATCAAGGGCATGACGCGCCCAGTACTCCGCTTTGGTGAAACGATGCAGCTCGCAGAGCACCGCAACGTAATGCGACCAGACGCTGCATCCCATCTCATTGTATTGATATCCGAAGTTATCGATCAGCCGTCGCAGGATTTCTTCACTTTGTTCAAATTTTCCCTGCCAGCGTTGCACCTTGGCGGCGAGAAAGTCAACATGTGTTGACTCCGATCTTCCCATTGTGCTAGAGCTGAGTTTGGTGGGCGAGAGCCCTTGTAGGATTCTCTCCGCCCCGTCGAGGTCGGGGGTATCCAGCATTATCCTGTCCTGCGCTTCCGAGCGTTGCCAGGCGACGTCAAGACAGTATGTGCGAGGATCAATGGGTTCTAGTACAGGCTCCGCGCTGCTCCATTGAACGCCCTGCAATCTGCGAGAGAGCTCCCGCTTCCTCATCTGCGCCAGACCCCGAAGATAGGCAGTATCTTCGTCCGCAAACCCAGGCCAGCACCGCAGGACGTCTTCCGCTTTATGTAGAGCTTCCAACTTCCAATCGGCCCCTGGCAGGTGGGTAGATAACAAGAGGGTCAGAAGAACCTTATAACCGTGCTGGGGCTGCTGGAGCACCTTGGCCGGCAAATCTGAACATTGACGAAAGGCATGTTGGACCAGTGGAAGCAGGAGACGGCCAGTGTCGGTGAACCTATTCGTACCGCGAGTTAGAGCGATCGGACTATCGCATTCGGGGTCGTACCAGTTCTCTTCCCAGCGCCCGGGAAATGCATGGCTGATGGCGACAACCACCACCCATTCCAGGTCAGGGATGCAAGGCTCGTTTCCCAAAACCTTCCCGACTGCGGAATCTATCTTATACTCCTCCCTCTGAAAGTCGCCCACTGTCGCACTCACGAAACCTAGTTCTTTATATACCCTGAGAAAGCCGATACACTCCCCGCTGGTAAAATCGTCGAGAACTGGATCAATACGGGGTGCTCGCACGGATTGCACCTCTCCGGCCGGACTCCAAATATGGGAATCTTGCTGCATTCGAAACAGAAAGATTTCGGGTATAGCTGCAGGTCCTAGCGCGCAGAAGAAGCGAAATGCTCGTCGCATGCGCGAATATGGGAGAAAGGACTCATGGTGGATCTCCACGGACAGGGACGATGGTAAAAATATCGTTTCGGATGATGGTGAAAGTCTCCTTTCCCTTGAACTGCTAACCCCTGTTGCCACGCATAAGCGGCCGTAGTGCCAGTGAAGCTTTGATATTCTTATCGAAAGACCACTTACGCCGCTGTTTTTCCGTCGCGAGAGGTCCGTCTAGAGGTCTGGTTCTGACCAGGAAGGAAAGCAAGCAAGCTTGCTCCGAGAGTTTCGGCCGAAATTCTCGTCTCTTGATAGCGCATCCTACGAGAAGGGCGTAGGATTTACCCAATACTTGGGACACCAGCCACACGAAATCGTTGTATTTGTCAGTCCAATGGTTTTCTGCAAAGTCATCCCTACTGTTCTGACAAATGTTCAGTATTTCCTGTGCCCTAGAATGACTCTGAAGATTCCTCCCGTTTTCATTAGCCAGTTTCATAATCTTTTCCTTGTAAGAGCTAATGTTGCATTTTCTCGATTTGCTAGACACGTCCTGCAGGTAATAATAGAAAATGCTTGTTTCGATGGTGAGCCGCCGGAGGTCTGCATTGTCCAAGTTCCGATCTGGGAGGCTTTTCCAAAGACTGATGTCAGAGTCTGTAGTCTGCAGCTGCAGACTGACTACCATGATGTTCGGTACAACAACAGAAGGCGAGATGCCACGGGTTCTGAAGTTGCGGTCGTATGCTGCTCTGAATGGCGTCGGGCGGCCGGGAATGGCATGCAAACCTTCCGGCGTTTGGGCCCAGGAACGCGCTCTGACCCAGCGAGGCTGCTCGCGCGGAGTAGCCCCACTCCGCCGTAGCGACAGACGGGCTATCTACAGTATGCCTGCCTACACAGCTTTTCCGGAACCCGAGGTGACGGCGTGGATAGTACTATATTTCTGATTGGTGCCTGTGCGAGGACCACTGTTTTGACTGGTGTACGAAGTACCTGGAGCCCCGCAGGTTGTAGTCACCGAGAAAGGCGTCAGCGCCTTGTCCGCTCATTTGATTGGTGTCAGCGACCGCCCCTCGATTGGGTTCATGCGATGTCCGGTTGCACCAATGCAAGTGTCCACGTCTCCACTAGACCAAATCTCGGAGTCGGTAGCCTTCTTCCCGTCCCAGTTCCTACAACCCCTTTGCAAAAAGTACAGCTCCAATTCTGAGAATGCAGCTCGTTTGGTCTAGTCTAGTACCAATACTAGTTAAAATCTCTCATAATTCAGGTACAAAGGAACTATTCGACATTGCTGGCTGGGTGCCCGGACTTGTAACTAAAGTTCGACCAGACAAGCAAAAGTTTACACCACGGTCAAAAAAACGCTCTTATTATCTTTACACTGCAAACCAGCAACATTCTTGAGCTTCTCTATTACAGCACATCAAAACGGTAGAAATAGATCGGTCTGGAACTAACCAAACCCGTAGATTAGCCGGTCTCGAGGATGGGATTAGTCGCTGCTCCGTATTTCCTTCTCGATCAGGCAGCTATTGCTGATATGGGGCAAGCTGGCTGCGGTTGATGTCCTCGGTGGGCCGCATGGACTGTGATAGGTTTCCAATACACAGTTAACATGTTTCATGATGAATTTAGCGCACTACCGGCAGAATAGACATATCTATTTGTTGGAGGCTTATTCTGCTATACCTAATCAGACGATTCCTGGCGGCGTAGCCCAATGAAGTGACTGGAAAATCAGACGATGTTTGGGAACTTGTCATAGTAGAAAAACCATCGATTTTATTCGGATTTATCAATGCATGCTTTTATCATCGATATAGTCTGAACCATTGACTTAAAAGTCGATGAGAGAGGCATATTTACAAATCAGAACGTTTCTTTACCGTAAATGATGGGGGCCTGGCCAGCTTTAATATCTAATAGCCACCTCTCCGAGGGGGTCCTTCAGCTACCGCAACCTGGGTAATATTGGTCACGAAAGATGGACAAGTGGCTGCTTCGATGATGAGGTCGTACTTTAGCGCAAATCAAAATGTGCTATCTCTTGCATCTCCGGAGTAAGTCGGATGCTACGCATAGTGGTCAATGTTCATGTATGACGCTTGGTCCAGAGCTAGGACTTTGCTAGCAAACAAAAGTACCCTCACGTGTCAGTCATCGAATTTGATATATAAACTTCAAAGTAGTCACCAATGCAACTGCCTTTTCCTTGTCATCACCAGAAGCAACTTGATTCAATAGATTCATCTTTATCAGCTCCTTTTTATCGTCTATCAAACAGATCGGTTCAACGATGTCTTTGCCTAGAATCGCAACTTGTCGTCCCACGGCGAACCTTATCACCACGCCGCAGTTACAAGTTGCATACGAGCGAGCGAGCAGACTAGAACTCCGCGAGACAGCAACATGGCCATTATTCGAAGAGCTATTGAACGAATACTTCGGACGCCCTGCGTTATCAGCCTTCGGTGAACAGCAATTGACTGACATCCTTCAGGCTGAGGACATAACAGTGGGATACGACGATCAAGGACCTCTGTCGAAACTGGTTTTCGTGCTGCCGGGAGACACCGAACGCCATGCTGTAGGTTCTCGCGAAGAAGAACTCGAATCGAGGTTGCAAGAGTATGCCGCCGGAAACCTCAACAAGGACTTTGGCGGTCTTGCAGTACACGAAAAAGTGTATGGAGCAACCGCGTATGGAACAAAAATTCGATTCTTCGAGTTCGACAGAACGGCACGTATATTTCAGGATTGGAGCTTCTCCAGAAACCTACATGTCCCTGGGGAGGAGGCCTACTGGGATCTGAAGACGGATGGTGAGAAAATCCATGCGGTGCTGAAAGAGATCTGGGATCAGTCACCCTTCAGTTGTGAATAATCCGCAGGCGGAAGCCAATGACGCATTTCGCATTCAACATGCTTGGAAATGCTTGGAAAAATCAGTGGGCAGGGCAAATGCAAGGGTTGCAAGTGCTGGAGCGGAGTATTTGTAGTCGGTCTGTGATCTGTTCAACATCTTCACCGACGGATCTTGATCGAGATGTGAAGTGAATTGATTTGTTGTGATTTATTGTATATGTATGTTCTCAGTCATAGTCATACAAGTTGGTATCCTCGTCTACATCCCGTTCTTCTAGCTGAAGTTCAGACCGACATGAGTGGCATTGGGATGGGAATTGCACGTGAAGCGCGGCACCCGCTGCTCACCGCCATAAAATCTACAATTCAACCAGCGTCACGTACGAAGATGACATAAGTCGTGTCCCCTCTTAGTCTCTGTTCTTCTTTCCCTTCCTTCTTCAAAAACATCACCCTCCCTTCTCCTCCCCACTTTCAAGTAGCGATCTCAATCTACATCCGGCCCATGGAGTCTTCAAAGACTTGTGTAATTCCTCTCCTGGAATCACACGAGCGGAATGGACATGGGATCTTAATACAGGTATATGCTCTCCCTTATAATTTTACTGTGTTAAAACCTAAAGGGTAGAAAATCATATAATCGAATTTGGTTCAATTCGTTTTGAAGAGGACGCCTCGAAGCAAGTTTACAGAAGTCTGATATGGCCTGGGCAGCAGAGACTGATTAGACTAATTTCTTCATCCAACTACACACCTGTAGACGCCTTTATCATGCATGCGTCTTACTACCATCTTTTATGTCACTTCGCAAAGTCTAACATCCTACCTATGCAGTTGTATAGACTATGCCAGGCAATTCAACCTGACCAAAATAAGCAATTCCTGAGTGAGATGGGAATAGCACCTTATAATAAGCATCTCTTGGGCCTTCTTCTGACTATCACTAAACCCGCAAGCAGCATGTCCAGATCCTTTCACACTCCTGAGGCCTCAAAAATCCATCCCTTTATCCAGGGAGACCTGCTTATTTCTGCAGCCCAATCTTAATAAGGCAGCTCCATACCCTTGTTCAAACTACCTTCCAAGATATTGCTGCTTGTACTCGGCTATTTATCCCCTTCAGATTTAGTCCGTTTCTTCCGAACCAGCAAACAAGCTTTATCCTACGCGAATTTGTTTTGTCATTCACATCCGTTGCATTTCTTCAGGTGCGATGCACACACAAGCAAAGACTCGGATAATAAACACCCTCTGATGATTGCTTTTTCAATTTGGCCTCGGTATCATGAGGTTGATTTGAGATGGCAGATTATAAAAAAAATCGCTAAACTGGCCAGGCTGCTACCATTATTAGATATAAAAGCATCTGCTACCCGAGAACTTAACCACGAGGGTCCTTCCCTTGTTGGCTTTCAATACGGGCTATTTAAGGAATTCATGGACATTCCCGTCACAGTCGAAAGACTTATAGTGTACGCCATACTGCTGAATGATATATATTATGTCTGCGGCGTTGGTTTCATAGCCTGCGATACAGAATCATTCATCGGTAGCAAGACTGGCAGCCTCCGCATAATCAATATCTGTCATCCCCAACTGATAAAATATGGCTTGCTGAGGACGCGCTTGGAGTCAGAAGTTTGAAATACTAAAAACTCACTATGGTTGTTTGATAATCCCGAGTACCTCGGTTGTGGGGAGGAGATAAGTCTGAGACACAGTCCTAGGAGGCTGAGGATCAGTCACAATATAAATAAACTAGTAATTCTTCCTGGAATATTAGTTCAAGGAACATACAGGCTCTAAAGTTCCGACACCTAAGCTGGCTGCATCATAATAACCCCTTTTCTGAAGAAACCCTCCTTGTTCGAAATGAGCATCCGTCCAGGTCAAGCCAAAATGTTTTGAAAGAGAGCTTTATATTCAGCAGAATCCAACACAGGAGAGTGAATTAGTGAACAAATTCAGTAAAGTTCCCACAGAGGCTATGTGTTTCAGTAAGGATCTGAAGATCATCAAGATATATGCTGAAGGGGGGCTCAGTGGCATAACTGGCATATCAATATATACGGGATCAGATGACCATAGTGTTAGTCTTTGCAAGGGCCGCTTTTCATTCTTGGAACTGCGCACACCTCACGAGATTGTGACGGAAATTAACGTGCGGACATCCGAAATCTATCCATTAGCTCTCACAGTAAGTGATATACTTCTTCTTATTTGCTTGATAATAACCTCTTGCTCCAAAAGTTCAGAACTAATCATAACCGCCAATTGTCGTCCGAGCCTTGCCAACATGGAACAGAAGTTTCATTCAGCATTAAGACCCTTCGCGCACCACCAAACTACCATATAAGGGGACTTATTCTCAGATTTGAAAATTCAATTATCGCTTGTATAGGCTTGATTTTGGGCCAGGTTTAACACATTGGTTAAAGTCAAAGATGAAGAACTCATTATCAGACGATGCTCTATATTTGGAATATGCCGTCCCCTACATTGTTAGCCGTAATGGCAGTCGATCACATAGTAATACAAAGGTTGTGATATGTTTTCAGTTGCACCAGGGATATTTCAGGAGATGACCAGGATATCTCAGATGCGAGACAGCGTGGACGCCCACGCTTAATGGGACGGGCATTTACACTCCTAAAAATGTTCCAGGTTGTCGATATGGCTACCGGTAGAAATTGGAGCAGCCAGCTGCATATGCAATCTGTGAGATAGTGGGTTCAATGCTCAGTATCATGTTATGGGTGGACTCTAGGGTCGATGGAGCTAGACCACAAGCCATTTGTGGCATAGATGATGGTCAGCGTTATTTCATTAAACGTCCAGATTCGGAATTCGGATTTATTCATTTTCCGTTCAAGTCACACTTGAACCCCGTGGCTATGCGGGAACTGTTCTTTTGCCTAGCTTGCAGTTAGCTACGCTTACGTAAATATTCCTGCCTTTAATAGTTAACTACAGTATAACGTTGCCCTGAGGATTTGACTCCACTCAAGCTTGTCTCCACGGGGTTCCTCAATTCTTGCTTGATCTCTGTGTGCCCAGTGACCTTCTTGCTCCGCCTGACCTGTTCTCTTGTTGAATGGCTCTGAGTTAGCCGTTAGCCAAGGAACAAAATTACAGTGACGACCGTTACTGCCTTCCGTGTCGGGAATAAAGAGATGCTCTTTCATACCCTGGTCACATGGTAACCTAATTTATGCGTGCTGTATTCAATGCGTAATGTGGCGGAAATGTACTTACGGATGATGAAACGCATGTTCACACAGATACATATGTAGCTGTATATTACTTATAGTATTCATGCTCGAAGAGCCTCTCCGTCATACCTTCGAAATACCCTAGCGGTACTAAAGTAGCCTATGAGTTCCGATCAACTTATCCGGCGAATAGGAAAAATGCTGAACTATATTGATTAATCATATACCGTGTTTTATCCACTGAGTTGGATTGTGCTTAATCAATTATAAACCCTATGGGTTCACGGTTCATCTGTCTGCTTGATAGATGGGCCAAGGTTTCGTGGTGGTATGTACCGCCCCCGTAGTTTCGTATCCACCGCGATCCTCAGAGAGTTCGCCCAAGGTAGTAAAAGGAACTCAGCTAAATGCGCTCCTAATAAACCAGTCTCTAATGGAGACAATTAGGAGATTTCGTTCGCAGTTCGGTTTCTGTCCAGGTTTCCAACGTCTTGTAGAACAACTTGCCGTGGTATGCACACAAGGTTGAGTCAAAGATAGCAGATGCCGTCCTCCTTATGACCCTTAATAATAAGTTTCCCAATTCCGTGATCAATTGCCATCGGTTCAGATGTGACAAAGGTCCTTTTGGCGGGAATAAGGAGATGGAATCGAACCTTGTCTGCATTTTCCCTTCCGACCTTCCTATTGAGAGACTGTCGATTTCCCCACATCAAATGAATTACCCCTTCTATATCAGAGCTGAACCCACCAAACGAAGCAGGTAATGGCTTCTCGCGGACCATCTTTTTGAATAAGACGTTGGCGCTCGTAGTTGGGTTATACACGTAAAATGCGTGACGACCAATCGACGCTTCGCCACCGTGGTCGTTGATATCGTCTTCTAGGAACCAGTAAATAAAGGCACCGAATCCCTGTGTCTCCCAACCTTGCACTTTAGCCGTTGTCTGGGCCCCGAGCTCATCGCGAATTTCCCCTAAACGAAGGCCAATACTCTTCAACTCGTTTCCTGTTCTGACCGCAAGAGCAGCGCCGACCAGCACGCTCGTCGCGAATAAAGCAGTGAACTCTGGGCCTGAGTTAAAGGCATTTTGGGTATCTAGAACGTTCGATGCGCTCATTTTATGGGTGGAAGGCCAGTCGCTGGTAGTTATTCGTCTGTGGATGGCTTCATGCGTTCGCGCTGCACTTTCTGACGCGACACGGGCCGCTTCGGATGCTGTTTCCTGAGCAGCAGCCGCCTGCCGGGTTTTTTTCGTCGGTGATGAGACCCGAGACGGTGGGAAGGACCACGGTGAGGACCTGAACAATCGTCCAAAATGGCACCGCAGGAAATGGCATTCTAGGCTCTACCTCGTTAACTCAGTCTAAGCGGGTAGCAATGCTTCACGCTAGAATGGGGCTAGTCTGCTTTGAATATACCTAAGGGGTTTATTTGCTTGGTGTTTCCGCTATTGAATCACTGCGAGTGGGATGTAGGATGTGTCGCCCTGGACTGTTGAGTGAAAGAGGTAAAAGAGGGGGCAATAAGACTCACCTACACGTGATTTCACTTTGCTGTTCAGTACCTCACGATTCATGTATTGTACATGGAACTTAATAATTTGCAAGAAATGTCAAAATCTGTTATTTACCTCTAGCCATATCAAGCTTTAATGTATCATGTGATTAGGTTTCAGAAGAACATCTATGTTTTCAACATGGAAGGCAATAAGGTCGGCACTATAGTGTCAATGAATTTAGTTTTCCCAGGCTACGAGCTTAGATGCGTTGGGGATCTTCATTGGCCGCCCTAATCATCGACACATGGCAAGCGGCACGGCTATCAAAACAACGCACAATGCGAAGTGGAGGGATGGAGACAGTGGTCCATGTACTGATCGACTGCCCGCAACTGAAGGGCCTGCGTCAAGATGCGGCAGACGATCGGAAGAGCGTTCGATAATATTTCAAACATGTTGGGAGGAGCAGGCCAGGGTAAACAAGTTCAAAAAATGTTTCGCCATACAGTAGCATTCTGGCGGTGGTACTGAACCTTGGGGAGGCATTACAAAGGATGTTGCAGTTGGGTGCCACGAGGACGGTAGAACATAACTCTCGATTAACATTTTAGGAGGTTTGGGTGACTGAGCCAACCGCTCTCAAGTGTGGGCATGGGCTCTCTACTAAGATCATCAGCCACACCCACTGCAACCCTTGTGGCCCAACAGCCACAGCGCAATACCATTCCCAAATAATCGGCAACATCATTTCTACAGCTTCATGACTAATCTGTACTGTACCTACAGTATACTGTCTGCACGGTGTATGTGACCTTTCGCATGTTTTTGTAAGCATGGATGGAGAATATTGGTCTTGCTTATCAGCTAATACCCAAGTACGCGCGCTACACTCGCCTAACTGACCGCACATCAAGCCAGCACGTATCCCACATTATCGAAACACCCAAGAACGCCATCCGCATTAGTTATTACGTAGTCTATCATATTAGCCGGTAAACGCTAAAAAAATCAGACCAACTAACTCACCCAGGTCGACCAGCTGCTGAAACCCGTTGCCACCACATGCAACTCTCATTCGCTCTCCTTTGCTGCCGTCCAAGCGACCACGGCATGTCTCGAACGCAAGCCCCCTACATCCGGTGTAAATCAAGTCCGGAATCGACAAATCAAGGGGCAGCTTACATATTCTGTTCAACCATCAAACCTCCATTGTTCTCGTAGCAATAATTTAAGGATAATTCACTTGACTTCCATGTGTCACTGCTACCCGAATAGCAATTTGCCGACAACAACCCGCTTTGAGTCAGCTTCACTTGCTCACATGTCGCTGAATAACTACCACACAGTGCCAACGCCGCGTTCATACCCAGAAGGATTGCAACACTCGACCACATTATAACATTGACAATTCGAGCACTCTGACTCACTATGGTCAAAGGCACATGGTTAGTCCAGGGATGTACTTATACCCTACTTTCATTCTATCATGCCTAATACTCGTTTGCGTGCCATGTCAAGTTGTACGACACCGTGGAAATACCCAAGGTATATGGCATCCCCCAAATTTCGGGGGAGCTCAGTCTCTCCACCTCCACGTTTGGTACTATTTTCCGTCATCCCTTTAGGGCCTGGCTTCCCTTAAGATAGAAATATAAAGAGCCCTTTCTTTAGTGAGGCCTAATCGTTCCTGGAGCACGGCATACGGCCCCACACTCGGGCCACTTGGAAGAGGATTCCTACATGTCGCGCCAACATTAGACTGGACGCAGTGATGCTTGGCGGTAAATGTCACGGGGTATACTCCCGGGCCACTTCATAATAATTACTCAGTGCCATACCTCTCAAGCATACGAGAATATAATAGTTAAGTCGCCGTAGTATCAGCCTTAGGCTATCGGATGGCGCAAGATATTAATATACCCGACAAAAAAAAAATAAAAAATAAAAAATAAAAAAATAAAAAAAATAAAAATTCGTGGAGCCAGGAGAGATTATAAGCTGGCCTCAGGTCATGTCATTACCTATATTTGAAAGTATTTCCGCAGATGAATAACAAAATACTGAGCTAATACTATGGCGTTTTAGTACAGAGCACGAGAAGATGATGAACATTCTTTCTGTATTGTAGTATTGGACCTCTTATTCATTCAAAATCCAGCTGTGAAAGATCATTGTCAGTAATGATGAAATTCAAATGATTGCCATCTATGTCTTCAGCATGCGTGCAATCCCTCATCAGGTAAAGAGAAGGTACTGAGAATTTGAAGCCACGTGGTACATGTACAGTATCGCGTGTTTGCTTCATCAACTCCCACCAGTTGCGACCGTGGCCGTTGAACCCTGTTACCTCGCTTGCGAAACCCCTGCCACCAAAATCCTCGTTGAATGACACACCCCTGACTCCATTCCTCCAGCCGTGGTAGCGGTACCTTTCCCAGACATCACCAGCCACATTATGGTATTTTTCCAGCTTGCAGGACACCTCATTCTCTATCTTATCCACCCTGGGGGGGGGTCAGGGCCATTCAGGTCGAGGTCAAGCAGCGATATGAAGTACTGCAAAGATTCGTGGTCTAATGTATCCATTGGGAAAGCGGCAAGGATGTCAAACGGCGACAAGTATGGCTGAAGGCGTGACAGGCAATACATCCAATTCCAGAGTGGTGTATCATCATGATCCAAAATCAAGACATCGCTTCTGCCTGACGATTCTACCCAATCCAAGAGAGTGTCGGGGTCTTGGAGAATATGTAGAAGCATGAAGTTGGATACAAAATCAAAAACTTCCAGGACCTGAACCGATTCTTCCAGCGTGCGAGTCGGGTTATCAGACCACATAGACAGAACGTTTCTATGAAGCTCATTAGAGCTTTTCGACGATCGGCACAACGTAGCAAATTGTAGCATTTTGGTATCCAGAAAGCGGGCCATGACTGCCCGATAGAATTCTCCTTTGGCAACAACAGGAACTGGCCGGCCTGAACCCTGTCTGCTCAATTTACCTGTAATCACAAATTTCTGATCCAGATGCAGCGCCAGGGCGTATTTCGGCTTCTGCTCTCTTGTCATAGATTCCAGATCGACAAATGATAGGACGGAACGGTAGTCTTCGGAAATATCCAGATAGATTTGTCGAAGCAAGCTTGTCTGTTGCCACCAGCCAAGTATGCTTCTAAGATGCCGACCTGTAATTCGCTTGCTGGTGTCTTGAGGTTGGTCGTCGAGGTCGACTTTAGAGTAATCCCCCAACATCCAAGCATCAATCTGTTGAAGTGGTTCTGTTGGGAGTCTGCATGCTGAGCTCTCTTCAGCCCCATACATCTTATCGTGCAATAGACACAGAGAATGATCATATTTGTGGTAGTCGGATTTTCGCTATTTGGGATCAGCATCAGAATAAAAGGTGCGAGGCTGGAGATGGTACAATTATGGACCAAAGTATAGTAGCTTTGTATCGATTGTAGACCGTGTGTAGGGCTTACACGTCCAGGCAAGACATGCAGCATCGTCCAGACAATGTAGAAGCTCGAATACCTTCAATAGGAGCTCCGTCGGGAGCAATGGGAAACTGGCCATCCCAAACTGCGCAGCGCTCAACTAGTTGGATGGGGACTAACTGGGTATCTACTCCTTCTCGACGGGAGATCTTGGGTTGCTGAGCGGGGAAGAATAATCTTCCGTACCGTTGCCCGATGGCCGCTATTACCCGCTGTACGTACGGAGGTGTGTGCAAAAAGTCATTAACATGACCTGTCACATTACGGAGTCTTGGCAGTAATTCATAGTTAAATAAAAAACGCACAACAAGGCACGTGACGTCCAACACCAGTCACGTATTGCGCACATTGGTCGTGCATCACGTGTAAGTGTATAAGATACTTGTGTATAATCACGTGGTGCACAAGGTATCCTGTACTTCGGCAAAAATTACTAGCGCTGCTAATAACTTTTGAAACACACCTCCGTACTCATCGAAGTCTTTCGAAGGCACCTGGCAGTTACCTGTTACCACTGGATTACCAAGCCCACTGCGTGGTAAGGGGCTGTGGTATTGCGCGCCTACTCGTTCGGTATGCCTTGTATTCAATTGACCCATGGCTAATTCATTGACCCTGCTCTACCCTTGTGTATCTGAAATTACTGCCTCGGTGTCTACTGACCAGAAAGAAAGCATGTGCGTGAGATTTCCGCTGGTGATGTTACTACGGGTTCTGGACTCATACAGAACAACATCACGAGGCCATCTATGCCTAACAATTCAATACTGTCCACTAATTTGATCTCATTCTAGATATATACGGAGACTTAGATACACATATACACAAAAAACTATTCAGTAACAAGACCCAAGCCCAAGATTTACACAGAGCGGCATCGCGGGTGTGTGCCCTGTTTTCCATGCCTAGAGTCTCGCAAATCGTCATATGAAGCCCTGAGAGAAACTGTCAATTCTGTAGCCAATTCCTTCAATGCTTTCTTCGCCTCGGCGGCCTGCTTATTTAGCTCCTCCATATGCGCTGTCGTAACGCCCCCTATTACCTCTGAACCATCATCGGTTGCAGTTTGTATCTCGCTTACACTGTCCTGGACAACCTCGCTTAACTCGCACACTTTCATTTTGTGTTCGTCAGCAATCTCCTCGCGAAAATGGTCGACAAGACCAGGCAGTTCTGATCTAATGCTGTCCTGAACGATATCATCAAGTTCTGATTTGACGCTATCGCGTACGATGTCCTGCTGTAATCTGAAACTGTTGTGAATTTCCTCATCGATATATCTTTTGATGTCAGGCTCGATAAGATGGGCGCCAGGAGGGCCAGATGTCCAAGACTTTGATGGTAGGCCACCATCTACATCCCCTGACAAGGCTAGTAGACGATGGTGTCCGGAGCGAATCAATAGCTCACGGACCCGATCTTCAGGAAGTCGGCTAAGCTTCTGCTCAAGATATCTAAGTGAAGAATGATCTGCGTCGTCGAGAGAAGAAGCATGTGTAAAGTGAGTTGGACGGATCGAGTTGGAAGATGGTGACGGAGGGCGAGTACTTGGGGTATTGACTTCAGTAGGTGATCCAAACCAGTCTGGGTGTGTAAGAAGCCGCCTTTTGCAACATTCCTCGGGTGACAGAGAGCGCCCTAGAGACCATCAACAGGCTATGAAAGCTGAAATCTCCTGTAGATGTGGAGATGGGACATACCTCTGCCCCGTTTGCCGATGACCGGATTCAATCCGGCTTCATCATTGTATTGGGGTGGACCCGGGCTTTAAAAAAGCGATGAGCAGCCCTGACTCAGGTGAATGAAGATCAGTGATAGAATTGACAGGACAACAGTAAAAGAGACCGACTAAAAGCTCCTGCGGCCTGGCCACAAGTACATGCTCACTCCAGTTCAAGAAGTTGGAGAGTCCTATGAAAACACAGGAATGGCACGCCAAGCGGAGAGAACGGCAAGAAGAAAATGATTCCTTGATTGACGAACGACAACAAAGGTATCAGAAGCTCTTGCGGCCTAGCCACACGTACGTACCCAACCCAAGATCCAAACCTGGAGTCCTATAAGAACACAGGAAACGGCAGGACCAGCGGCCAGAACGGCAAAGAGTGAATAGTCGAGTTCCTATACGTGATGAGGATGATGGAGTTGATATCGCACAGAACGAAGGTGAAGCATAAGATATCTCAGGGGGAGAAAGGAAGTGAGGAATTAGTTGAGCGGTCGGCCTTGAGAGAGGATCGATACATAAGGACGGGAAAGGGGGCTGGGGCTTGGCATTGTTGACCGCGTCATCTCTGACCACGTTATCTGACAGGTTACCATTTTAGGTAGCGGGACGAGCACAGACTCCCATTCTATTGAGATCCTTCACTTCACAGTACTCTTGTTTCGCTGCTCCCACCTTGAGGTCAATTCAAGACGGCTGATCTCCACTGCAGCCATTGACGACGGGATGCAAAAGCGGTTTTCGTGGTTACAAATCGGATAGACAGCAAATTTACCTCCGTTGACGGCGAATGCCCCATTGTGGCCTTAGGCACTGAATAATGTCAACTCAACTATTTTCAATACCAAGTATCTGTGTTTGGTGGATATTTGCTGGTGTTCTCTATACTGCGGCCTCTTGCCATGGTAGGTCAGATATGTGGTGTTTGAGAACGTTTGTCTAATTTATATACAAATACAGGGCTCTCAAACGTTGTATTGATTTACATACAAGTTCTAAAAGGGTATCTTTTATAGGAGCATAATAGGATGGCCCGCCCAACCGTGTGGCCCGTCCGATCGTTGATTACGTTCTGTTAATGCGAAGGAAGGGTGACTAATTTTCGCCAAGAGTTAACACTGTAGCCGCATGCACCGCTCAATATTCTGCCCGCACGGTGTACACAACCTACTGTGTGATTTTCTGCTGGCAGAATTACGGGCGTATTGATCGCTCATGTTCTGCCGGTCTTATAATGGACACACGTGCACCGTCTGTTATTCTGCCGGCACAACATTGAAACCTGTTGGTCTAACCATGAACATGGAAATTGAATCGTCTCCCAGTACAACCTACTCGACCTCTTCCTTTCAGTCTGGGAATTCAAGACGGGAAGTGAAATATGTGCGCAAAAATTTGCCTTTTGCTTGTACTACTTCAAGCTCATGCTGTACTTTAGATTCTTATCCTCAAAATTTAGACATATTCGAACCGAAAACCCAGATTTTGTGCTGCGATAAAGACATGAGCCCAACAAGTAAGCGTCAAAAGAAACAGAAGCAGAACAGTCAAGAATGGGCGCATCTATTACTGGCAATTACATCTTGGTCTACCTATTGGCGTTGTTGCCTTCGGCAAAATGGTCGAGCACAATTGAGCACTAACATTAGGGATATCGACCGTCTCGTACTAGTCAACGTAATTTTTACAAGCATAGGCTTCTGGTTGAAGCTGCATGCTCCGGTCCCGCAAGAAGCCCTTTTTCGACTGAACGCGGTCTCGACTTTAGAGCGATAGTCGAGTGATGAAAACCTGTCAATCAGATACAGTTCCTTGTGCAAACTGGCCGACCGCTAAGTGTCCTGCTTTGTAGACCAGTGTACCTGAATCGAGCCACTACTTCTGCCCGGGTATCGGTTAGAGAACAATCTGACCACGTCTGACCAGGGTCTATTCTTATCATTTTTTAGCTCCCTCAAGAATTTCTCCTCTTCAGAGGACCACTTCTTGCCTCTCCTGGAAGCTCCGTGGTGCTCAAGGCGGCTAGATGGATGATCCATCTCACCTGCTGGCTTCTCGGCTTTGTCCTCCGACGTTTCTGTGTCCGGTTTGTCGAAGGCGCGTGATGTTATATTTGCGCACATCCAATTGCAAAATTGCACACGTACGCCAAAGGGTGCAGAAAAATAAATAGCAAGAAGGGCATCAAGATCAAGCGACGTGTCTTCCTCTGAGCCGGATATAGGATGGCGAGCCCGCTTTGACGGCTGTTTACTCGACGGTTGCGGTTTTCGCTTGCGTAGTTTCGACCGTTGACTGCTACTCTCCGGCGGGATAACACGTGACGGTACGTTGGCTTCGGCGTCGTCAGGTGATGTTTGCGTATGGCCTTGGCCGTGGGGGCCAACCGATCGAAGATCGCTATCCTGCCTTTCGGCCTGTGTGTTGAAGTCTGTGTGGTAAAAAGATGTGTCACACAGAGCGACGGGGGGGTCAGGATACGGAAAGCTCGTCTCCGATCCAAGAAAATGATTTTTCGGCTGAATGGACTGCAATTCTCCAATCATCCACGATCCGTCGTCGGCGAGAATAACCGGGTCAATTGGAATGTCATTGTGCTTAGCAGACAACGGCGGGCTGTGCTCCGAATCAAGCGTGCTGGGCGACGAGGCGATGACTGGAAGGGCGGGCGCCTCGGTCAGACTAACCGTGGCATTTTGATCATCCCACAGCGTGATCGAATCTGACACACCACCTTCACGATCCTCCACAGTTCGCTCGGGCGTTTCTGGGTGTCGCTCATCGGGTAAAGTGTCAGATGACGGTATAGGCGACTGCGGTGGTGAAAGTTGGGAGCCAGAGAATGTGTATGGGGCGCCTTTTGCACTCGTGTTTACGCAAGCATCGGCTGGCGGCCGCGCCGGGAGTGGATGCTTGGGCAATGGCAAAATTCGTGGCCGGGGCTCATCACAAAGCTTAATAGCAGAAGACTTGTTACACGGACTGTGTGAACGGGGGAAATTGGAAGGCGGATGTTGCTTGGGAAGAGGGAATCGTGTGGAAGGAGAAAATCTTCTGGGAGAAGGGAATCGTGCGGGAGGAGGGTATGGTGTGGGAGGTGCAGATTGCGTGGGAGAGGGAGATTTTGTGGGAGGAGGGAAAGCCCATGGCCTGAAGTTTTCAATGTGAAATGTAGACAACATATTGCAAGAAACAGGAATATTGGGATCTTTTGGCAGGGTTGGCTCTGTGGATATTTGGACCCGGAAATGAAGGTCAGGGGTATGGTAAATGAAGGGAGGGAAGTGCAGACAGGAATTGGGGAAGGGATCTGGTGTAAGGAGAGGGTCAAGTGATAGGGGAATTGTGCAGCTGATGAGAAAATCGAATAGTAACAATGCGACCTTCCCGCATCCTTATATGTCCTCTCAACGAGGTCCTGCGCAGTGGAGAGTACGCCGAGCTGAAACGACTCTCACCTTGCAATCTCTTCCGCTCCAGCTGACGTATCCACCCTTAATCAGGATCGTCGAACAAGCGCTGGAATTGAGAGCTCCCAGCCAATCGTGGCTAGCATGTTGCCTCCAAGCCTCGTATGTGAAGCCCCGGTTATCACACACAGACTACGGATAAGGATGCGGCAATTTTGCCATTGGCAGGTTGCAAAGGCCAGACCACACGTCGAACGGCATCAATCGCGGTGGGTCGAAAGCACGCGTTGATGGATGGGATGACATGCAACTCGACCAGGTGAAACTAGTCCGGTAGGCCACAGAATACACTCACTGCCCGGAAGCTCCAACCAACATACAACGAAGGAGCCATGGGGCAATGCTGCACTCAAAGATTAGCAAGCGATTGAACAAGACAAGACATCCATACTTACCAGTTAATTGCATGCACGAGCGCGCCGCAAATGGCCATGATTTCACGGATTCAGCATGCAAAAGGCACCCACAGGTGAGAGCGCGCCTGACCGGAAAGAGCGGAGATAGCTCAGAAACTCAGACATGGACGAAGTGACGGCTGGACATTCCTTTCCAGGCATTCGTGGGCAATTCGGCGTAGCCGAAAGGGGGGCGAGAAAGAGGGGAAGCACACAGCGCCATACCATAAAAGGGAAATGTTCGGGTAACACGGCATCTCTGGGAGGGGCGGTGCCCTGGCTGAGGCAGACGGTAGAGGGGAACAAAGAAGAGAAAGTGCGTCGTCTTTCGAGGGAGAGGTGCCGGACTTATATAGATTGTGCGGGAGACTTGAGGCGGCAGGCGAAGGACGCAAAAGCGGCGAGCAGCGGCGCGATGCCCGAAACGGACCGCACTATACCGTAACTGGTAGTCGTATTTCCGTATGTGACAGGCGGTGGTGGTGAGCAGAACGGCGGTTCAATGGGAGCCGTTTCTGGCGCCCCGCTAACCGTCACAACAATTACTAATATAATTTTTATTTATTATTTATAAGCTTCTTTTATAATACCTGCAGAAATTATTATTATAAGTAATATCTTATAAGCTTGTAAGAATTTAATAATAATAGTATATATTAGAATATATATATTTAATTATTAAATAAGTCTGATATAATAATTGAAATTAAATAAATTAATAAAGAATTTTATATTAAAAATAACTTTTAACTTCTCTTTTATAATTCTTATTCTGAGGCTGTCAACGTTCTGGCTGAGTAGTCAGATTATTAGGAAAATAATATAAAATTTTTTTAATACTAAAATAATTTATATTTTATTATATTTATAAAATAATTATTTAAAGTAATTAATATAGTTTTTAAATAACTTACTATAATAGAGAAAATTATTAATATAAATACACAGGAAAGCCCGCATGCATTAAAATATATTATTAATTTAGTATTAGATATATAGTATACTATTTAAAAAATTTATTAGTATAACTTTAAGAAATTCTTATCCGCGATAGATAATAATACCGGTGTATTTTTAAGAAGATAGATAGACCGGTTATTAATAAAATATAATTATTATATTTATAATAGAGAGATACATATCTCCAGCTACTTTAATAATAATTTCTTATTAGAATAGTATAAAGTAGATATCAGATATAATATTATTATTAAAATCATAGATATTTATTACTGATTAGAATTTAATTTTAAATTAATTTTTATAATATATAGTCTTGGTTATAATGAATACTAGAGTATCTATATAATAGAAGTTTTTTAAATAATTTATATAATTAAGATAAATCAGCTCATCAAAAATTTTATTAATTATATTACAGTATAGTTTACTAAGATTATAAACTTTTAATTATCTTTTTAAATAGTTTTTCCAGTCTAATTTTATATAAATTTCAAGCTATCAGTCTGTCAAACCCTAGGATCGCTTCCCTGTCCCAGTTAGCTTAGCCCCGTTGGTATACTTACCGCTGAATTACGTCAAGGTAATATCAACTTGATGACTATCTGAGAGACAACTAGATCGTGGATAAGAGAAGAGAAGTAAGGCTGAATAGTACCGCACAGCTATTCATAAGTAAGTGCGGACGAGCGTTCTATAGCTAAGCTTCCAAATATATAGTTACTTAAAGATAGTAGTATTGAGCACAAAGAACAGAATTAACTAAGTACATGAAAGAGTGTCCTTATATATCCTATCCTCCGTATACTATATCGTATACCATCGGGTCTGCCGTATACCAGTATAGTAGTTGTAGACCATGATGGTATGCCGTATACCATATGTTTGTCCATATACCGTAGTCACGTGGTGCGAGGCCGTTCCGGGCGTCGTATTGGCAATCCGCGATTATACTAAATAACAGTTTTGGTTTTGCCCGAGCGCTGCCCTTATCGGCGCTTTCTGCCTGGCGAGTCCGCCTTACTAGTAGGTTAACTAGCAGGGGTCCGTAACACAGTCTATAGAGACCTGGATGATATTTTAATTTATTTATATATCAGAATATAAATTATATATTTATTCAAGATATTTTTACTTAGTTAGAATACTATAAATAATAATATTATTTAATAACTGTTTATATATCTTGGAATCAGTTTTCAATAATTATAATAATTTATTATCTGTAGGCCGGACTGCAGCTAGTATAATCAGATCTTTTTTAGAATTTATATTAAATATATAATAGATACTAATAGCTTTGAACTCAGTGATATTATCTAATCTTATATAATAGTTAATTATAACGGGGCTAGCTGTGTCGTTGCAGGCTATAATATAAAAAAAAATTTATATTATATATATATATAAATAATATAATATCATGAAATTATTTTTTTAATTTAAATAAATAGTCTCTGTCAGTAGCTAGATTCTGGTATTATTAGATAGAGATTATTATCTTTAAATATAATTTAACTATAAAATATTTACTGGTAAACACCGATCGTGGTTGGGGATGGTAATTTAATTTAGAAGTTATAATAATAAAAACTATTATATAATTATAACTAATAATAGTTACTTTATATCAATCATAATTAATAATAAAATCTTCGGGACCGAGAGTATTAGATCTAATTAATAAATTTATTTTTAAATTATTTATTAAATAGATTTTTAAAATAATTTTTAGAAGAACTAGTTAGATTTATTATTAAATAAAAAAATAAATATTAAATAAAATATACTTAGTACTTATAAAGCTATCAGCAACACCGTAAATTAGTATAAATGCATATTTAAGAATATTTAGATTTAGAATTTATTTTTATATAAATTAATAGTCTATAATATTTATTATATAGTTAATATCTAAATAAACTAATTATATATCTTCAGACGTAGGAGTGAAGACTGCTTTTATAATAATATAATATTAATTTTTAAAAAAACAGTTCCCGGTTAGATTTAGTAAATAATTAATATTAGATTTAATTATATAAATAAGAAGATCAGTATAATACGCCTGTATTTCTCTGAAACAGTTTTTTAAATACATATATATTATGTTATTTAATAGGAAACTTTCTATATAATAATAATACTAGAAATTATTTTAATTATTCTAATTATTAACTGGTTTGGGCTTCTATGTAGATTTATTATAATTTTAATAATTCTTATTATACTTATCCGGCTAGTAATTATTATTCTTATAATATTATTATTCTGTATCTATTTCTTTCTCAGTTTTATTATAATAGTTATTTTTTATAATATTATAACTGTCTGTATTAGTATTATAGTATACTCTCTAGTATTATTAATAATAATGATTATTATTATTATTATCATTATAAATATAATTATTATTACTACAATTGTTCCCTTGAGGGCGGAAGTAGCTTAAGATATTATAATTTTATTAGTTATAATTATTATTATTATAGAATTATATATTATTATTTTATTAATTTTATATATTTCTTTGATTTTTATAGTTTTATTAGTTTCTGTTATTTTATTAATTCCTGTAATTTTATTAATTCTTATTTTACTAGTTATAGTTTCACTGCCTGTTATTCTATTACCAGAGGCGCTGATTACTATTATTCTATTAGTTTTATTAATTACTATTATTAAACTGGTTCTACCAGGACCTTTAATTTCTGTAGTTTCAGTTAGAGAAGAATAGACAGCAGTTATTATAATTATTAATATTAATATTATTATTATTTCAGAGATAGTAGTTATTCTAAAAATAATAAGATACTAGATTTTATTTATCTTTCTAGTTTATTAATTTATTAATAAGAAATTAAATAAATTCTGAGATTATTATTAATATAAAAAACTTATTAATTAATTTTTAAAGCTAAATATCCATATATTACCAGGTATATAAAATCAGAGAATAAAAATTATTATTATTATATTAAAAAATAAATTCTACCAGTTAAAAAATATAAGCAGAAGATAAACAGTTCACACAGATATTATTAATTATATAATAATAATTTTTTAACTACTATTGAGTATAACTGGGTGGTAGACAGAATCTATTTTCTAATTATTTATAAAATAAATTAATATTATTTAATTAAAATAAAATTTATTAAATATCTAGACTTAATTTATTTAGCTACCAACTGAGTACTTCGCCATGAAAATAAATATTAATATTTTAAATAATCTTCCGAGGGTTCTTTATAATTACTAATTAATATAAATATTTAATAAAAATATAAACTGATTTATACTAGATTTTATTATCTTTATTAATAATATCTCCATATCTCCAGTTTACAGATATGTTAAAGTAGAAATAACTAATATCAGCTGTATATTAATAATTAAATTACTGTCTGTTATTATTTCTATTACTATTATTATTATTATTTTTATTATTATATCTATTATTATATCTGTTAGGGTAGCTATTACCTTAATAACTATTAATTTAATATAGTTTATAAGAATAAGATTAATAAGAGTCATAAAAATAAAATACTAGATATTATTAAAATTAATAAAGCTAATAAGATAATATATAATAAATATCAAAAAATATACTACCTTAGTATTTCAATTTGGGCTGGAGCTGCCTTTTTCGGCCGCAAATGACGCCAAAAACGGCTGCTCCAGCCCATCTGCTGACTTAGCCGCCGTGCGCATAACGAATCCATCTCGGCCACGCACCGGGTTCCTGGCACGTGACAGGCACCAGTTGCTGCCAACTGAGCTCCCGCGGCAAGATACTGTCCACTCCTGGTGCTTTGTTGAACAAACCACAGCAATGCTCGTTTTCACCTTTGAAGGTCAGCCTCTGAGGGAGCCATTTTCGGCTCCCTCCAGAGTGAAGCGCCCCCCTCCCCGAAGCAGTCACCTTTTCCCTTATAAGTGACACTCCTCCCCCCTTCCCTTCTCCCCGTCTATGTTCCTCAGCCATCTCATCTTTCCATATTATCTGCCTGCCGTCGTCGCCACTTACCTTGCGATCCTACCCTCTTCTGGTCTCTCTTTTCAGTAGACCGGTCGCTCGACTCCTTTCCTTGAACCATGGCTCGTCGCCCACGCCATCACGACGCTGGCCACAGCAGCAACGACGACGACGACGGAACCGCTAGCAATGCGTCTTTCCGCCTAGACTCGGACGACGCCGCAAGTGCGGGTTTCCAGACGGACATCACAGATGTTACAGACTCCGACGTGCCTCTACCCACTCGCCGAAGAGGCAAGGGTCGAACCCGTCAGAACCGCTCTAGGCAGAAATTTTTAAAAAGGAAGTCTCATGAGACTGCTAAAGGATCTCCTTTATCAAGCCGTGTGAATACGGACTCAGACTGCAGCTCTGGAGAAGGTGGCATGGTTGTTAGTGCCAGCCGTACTCGTCGTTCAGAGAAAAGGTGTTCCCGGGAGAAACCTCAAAAACCAGCTGCTTTGGCAGACGTCGCAAAACAAGACGAGCATTTAGACACCAGCTCCAGCGATAATAGTTGCCGTGATAGTGACTCTGCCAGTGACTCTGACACGGACCCCGATATTGATTCGGATACCGAGGTATCGTCAGACAGTGATGATGACGGTTATGCAGACGGCACCAGAAAGAACATTACGCGGATGGAAGACCGATGGGAACGGTATGCCGAAATTCCGTACAGTGGCACAGAAGCATCAGGTACAGGCTAATAAATGACCAGGTATTGTCGAAAGAGAGAGAAGAAATACAGGGCGTCAGCGCAACCGGACTGCAAGTGGGCTGATCCAGCGACTGCACTTCGCGATGCTGGGCAAAAGGAGTTGACTCTGTTCGTCCGTTGGTGCCTGCGGTTGCGGCTGGGCAAAAATGGTCGAAAGCTCAAGGGTATCAAGAAATTCAAGGCTCTGGATACGGACTGGAAATCGTTTCTCCGACACTATGAAAAGCTCACGGAAGAGCCAATGGACGATGCGCTCGGTCGGCGAATGAGGAAGGTTGGGATGAGAACTTGCCTCTCTTTGAAATTGATTGCTAACCATCTTTGGCCCCAGAGTATCCGAAAAGTCGCAAGGAAGCATGGTTTAGATACAGATGAGAAAGAAAAGACTCCGATGTTTATCGAAGATGTGGTGCCCCTGCAGGAGACAACCCTGCGCACCATGGAGAAACGTTTCGATCTTGGTCTTCAGCGCATGCAGCAATGTCTCTACCCTTTAATGGCCTGCTTTACGGTGAATAGGATCAATGCGATGCGTCGTCTTCAGTACCAGCATCTACAGTGTTCGATCCAACGGGATCCTCATGGTGGACCCCCCCGAATCCTTCTGGAGATCAAGTATAAATTTGCCAAGAAATACATGGGTGTGACGCAAGCGTATGTAGCTTCCTGCTTCTTTCCGCACTAGAAATCCCGTTACTGACTGGCCCATCAGAAACACCTTCCCCCTCCCCGAGATTATCTATGATCCATCATTGATGCTGAGCCCTCATACGTTCCTTCTTGGGATTCTCTTTCATGATGATGCATTTCGGGCTCCGGGAATAAAGTCCATGGGGGACCTCCGACGCCTGTGGGTGGAAGATGGCCGCCAGCAGATGGAGGTCCCATTGAAACGGGACAAGGCTAAACACTACGTATTCTGCAAAGTCACGAGCGTCCGCGGCAAGATTCAGATACATCGCGATAAGCCCATCCCCTCAAGTACCCTTTCCCGACAGCTCAAGGTCTTCGGCGAGATCGCCGGCTTTAAGTGGTCGTTGTTCACGCATCGGTTCCGGTACGGTGGCGGCACTATTCTGAATGAAAGCGGTAAGTTGTGGAATATACCACCTTGCCCGTCCTTCCGTCATACAATACTGATTCAAAGCCGTTGGGATTGCTAGGTCTTGTCAGCGATGCCCAACAGAACTTGATCATGAAGCACGCGGATATCCGAACATTCCTAAACCATTACCTTCCTCGGCGCATCGGCACTGATATGCAGGCGTTGATGAGAGGACTCAAGCCAGATTCGGACATGATGAGGGCTGTCACCCGGATGGGACGATGGATTGACCGACGTCGGCCCCGAGAGCTTACTGATGCGCAGAAGGCCACGGTGGAGCACGATCCAGAGCTGCAGAAAGTCATTCGGAAGCGGGATGCGTTCTCCAAAAAACTTCAGCGCAGTCAGAAAAAGAGTGGCCGGAAGCTCGATAAGCTTGACAAGCTGAAACGGGATGTCACGAATACACGGAATCGACTCTTGTATGCGCTCCGCCAACGTGTGCGAGAGGAATTTGACGAGGAGCAGGCGGTCCTTGATATTGAGCGGCAACTGGCGGGCACTGCAATTCTCGACGAAGAGGCGAAGGAGCAGCTCCAAACTGAAGAGCAACTCCTTCCTCAGCAGATTCACCTGCTAGGTAAACTCATGACTTGGCCCACCTCCTTGTCGGTGGAAATCGAGTGGCAGCGGCGAAATGAGGCTACCGAAGCCGTTCGACTCTATTGTGATGTTCTGGAAGGTGGCCCGCGACGAGGTCGACGGCCGAAGCGGATTGTTCCGATTCAAGACACCCGGACGCCTAGCCCCCCCCGAGAAGTTATGGCGCCGGCCGAACCCCCTCTTCTTGCCCCGTCGCCCTCACGGCATGAGATCGCCTTGCAGGAGGCTGGCGAAGACATCCGAACTGCCGCGAAGCCCCGAGCATGCTTTCAATGCTATGGAAACCCCGCGGGATTTGGCAATCGGCGTCTAATGCAGTACTCCCGCCATAAAGGTCTGTTGCGACACTTCCGAGCCGTGCATCTCGACGATCGTCACTGTAACTACTGCAACGAGTCGGTGGACAACGAGATGTATTGGCGAAGGCACACCGTAGACAAGCATCGCTTGAATGTCAGATACCTTGGGAACTACCCTCATGATCTTTGAGTATGTTATGGATAATACTCTGGTCCAGGAGCATATTTACATTAGATCAGCCATGGAGAAGTTAACTGGTTCGTCCACGTGTGACCGTAGAAATGAAATCCCCTTTAAATATTTGCTAGTCTAGATTTAGGCCTGCTTCCCGATTTCACGTCCTTGGTTAGAGTTTTCTGGCGTCTCGCCAGATTGTATCAAGGTGTTCTGCTGGGAAGAGAGTATAGGATCTTTCCTGAGCAGACAAGAGAGCCGATACAGCACCTTGCACAATCACCCTGCCTACCCAGATTCTTCCACAATTCTTCAAGACAACCCTCCATACATTTATACTAGTCCGCATACAGTTAGCTTGATACCAAAACTTCTTGGCAGTATCGATTAGTACTGTAAACTAAACGATTTTACTTCCTTATCTTACAGTAGCCGTCTTAGAAATATAGGAATGTACAAGCTTTGACATCGATACAACAGAGCATTCGAATAGCGACAAGACTGACTGTCCCACTGTCCCATCTTGAACAAATTATTTTAAAATATCCCGAATTTGTAAACCATTGATCAACAAGTAACAGGACAGTCGCGCTTGCGATATTCGCTCAATGATTATCCCAAAAACGGAACATTAAATGTCCGAACAATCAGTTTCTCATGCTCCCGCACAACTAGCCGTACAAAGAGCGCAGTCTGGGTGAGATAAGGCGGTGACGCCAACATCAGAAAGAAGTTCAGATCGTATGGAATTTGCCTCGCTTATTCAAGATAAATGAATGGCCAAAATTCACCGGGCTGACCATATTCATACGCAGCGCCGTACCCTTGGACAGTCTTGTCGAGCAAGTCTTTTTCGAGTTCCAGTGTTATTCCCGTTCCGTCGAGAATGTTATGTAGATCTTGGCATGTCTTGTTGAATAATATATCAGTTGCACCCCTCTTCGGTAAGCTAATCATCTGGCCAGGACAGGCGATATCGCTGTGAAGAGAAATACATTGCAAATTCGGCAGTTTGCCATTTAGCACGGATTCCGCTATACAGGCCAATGCTTGCGCTATTGGTGATCGGCACTCCCGTATTGTAAGGTGGACCAAGGAAGATGGAAGTTCAGGTATACGGCTAAGATATACTTGATCCAGTATTAGGTATTCCAGGACAACGAACTGTTTAGGAGGGCCGCCGGATTGGTGGTCTCTGAAAGTAGGGGGTATGCCGAAAGGGTCGTCAAATGACAGTTGGAGAACCCGCAAGCTATCCCGTCGGCAAGAGAGCAGTGAGTATAGTCGCTGAAAACTTAATTGATAATTATAAGAACCACACGGCCCATAGTAAAAGGCAGTCAGATTTTTGCATAGTCCAATCAGCACATCAATATCTGTTTCCTCAATAGAACTGCCATTTAGTGAAACAGCTGAGGCAGAAATTGATCTGAGGGGAGTAACATCTGCAATATCTGTTTCATATGAATCTTGCCCACCAGAACAGTAGTCGCTGATCTGTATCTCTCTCAAAGGCAGCAGAGAAAGAAGCCGGGCGATACTATTCATGTTCATTCTATTATTGCAGCGACCTTTCCGGCAGCGTAGGTGTAATCTTTGGAGGCCGCCTAAGCAAGGTAATGACCAAAGAGCATTTATACGACCTTGGGATAAGCTAGTCAGGAGGAATAGGCCTTGGGGGTCAAGAGTAATAACCAAAGATCTCAGATTCTGAGTGCGTGAGATTATCAACATAGAAAAGATGACGGAGTCTCCGATTTCAGTACCAAAATGAGACGCATCTATGCCACCCAAGTTCAGATCCTGGGCTTCCTTTTCGAGGAGGTGAATATCTGCTTTTGGCATTTTATCTGGGTTGACAGCATTGATATTATGTTCACCCTCAGCCAGTAGAAAGCCTGGATTGTCGGTATCAATATCAAGCTGTTGGATATGCGCTGCTATGAGAGGGCAGGTAGTAATGGTGCGGCAGAGAAGTAGGATTGATAACAGTACATCTCCAGGACCTAGGATAATCTCATGGTAAAGAAGCGGCTGGGCGATAGCGCAAAACTTCTTTGATACCAAGCAAATATCGTTTAAGGCTGCAGTAGTCTCAATGAAATCCAGGATTATCAAGACGATCTCTGGCGGTAGGTCGCTGAGTTCCATCTTCGGCATACGTCGAAGAGTAATCGAAACTCGGGGCGAGAGCTGACGTCCTTTTCACTGCTGCACGTGATGTTCCCCGCAACGTGAACGGCGTAATACCTTCTGACTGACTAACGAGTCAGTTGTCGGAGCTACACTGGTTGGTTAGTTGTTGCCGTAAGTTAGTAATCTAGGAGCCCCACCGCCTGGCATAAGAAAATGGAATAGCTGGTTCACCTTGCTCTCGAAGCCTAACCCGTCCAAGTACGCAATTGTTGTGCTTGGAAGCTCCTAGTATTCAGAGGCCGCATACTGTGGCAGGCCAATGAAAATATTATTGACACGAGATTTGCTACCTCAGCCTGACTTGACGAATCCGCAGCTCTTGCGTATCGGGTTCGGACAATTTCACAAGCGCTAGGTTTCTCAAGCTTAACAAACTGTCTTAGATATAGACATACTCTGTAAGCGCTTTACAACTTTGTAGCATTGGGCTAACTTCAAAGCATCCATAATATATACTTAAATCAAACAGCCAACGTGATCAACCAGATATGCAGGAGAGAGTCAAAACGTAAACAGGTAACGCAACCAAGAGACTCAACTATTGTGCGATCATTGCGGCAGCCCTGGATATATTTGAAGTAGCAAAAATGGTGCTCATTGCAATCAAGTAGCATATTTCAGCGCACTTGGATTCTACATGTTTTGCGCTGATGAAGGATTGAGAAAGCCCATAGATGAAGAAGAATGATCTCCACTGATTTAGAGTGCAACGGCAGTAGCGATGTACTATACTACAGCAGTTTCTAAATTGGACAGTTGGGCAAGATAGATACGCTCGGTCCACGTGGCTATGTCTCAAACCTTATTCAGTATAGACTGCAATGATTCGATTTGGCAGGGAGCCTACAAGAATGTGTGTTGGTTTTCGGCCGAAGTAGCTTGGTAATAATAGCTGGGAGTTGCTCGTGTGAGCTATACTGGACATGGTATAAAGCACACACGTACCTCCTATTACAATCAGCGTTAGGAGCAAATGATAGCTGCTATTGTGATTGTTAAATAATAACGCAGGCCAGACTGGATGGCCTGCTCAAACCGGTCAGCCTCGTTAGGCTAATTATCATATAGCCAGAAAGCGCTGGATCACATTACTCATCTGAGGGTCCAAAGTCATATATCTGGGAAAGATTTACAATAATATTTTCACTTCACAGCAGTAAGGCTTCTTCTATGTGTGAGTTCTAACGTTATTGTCAGGGCTCTATGCTGAACATCAAGTATTTCCACGGGGTAGGAATCGGGCTCATCCATATGTATAGGACAGTGTATATTGGCGTCTGAGCTGCATCTGAAAGCCAACAGTACTCTGTTATCAGTCATTGCTTCTCGGCAATCAGTAAAGAAAGAACAATCGCTTGCCTTTCCACAACCGTGCCAGTAGCAGATAAGTCTCCAATGCATGGCATGTTTAGTAGTTACAACGCTGCGAAATATGTGCGATAATTCTGAGCGGGTTTTAGCTGGCTCACTTATACACGATGACGCAACGATCAAAATATAGATGGAGTAGCCTATGATTTAAAAAAAGGGGATGTCATATTAGCATAAGAGGATAGGATGGCTGCGTACGGAGGTGTGTACCTAAAGTCATTAGCGGCGCTAGTAATTTTGCGGAAATACACAGTACCTTATGTAGCACGTGACCTTATTCAGATACTATCATATTCTATACACGTGCACGTGATGCACAACTACTGTTTAGTCGCTCATGTGATTGAGTTTATGTATCACGTGAAAGCTTGTGCATGTGTTTGTTACTAGCATTACTGAATGAGCTGCAGAAGGGTTTGCTTGATGCCCTCTGTACTCTGATTATTTTCGTCTTCGGCTAAAAGACACTAGCAGTTCTATCGGTAGTGGTAACACAGCTATAACTTTATTACAGTATAGATATTTCTAGTCCTAAATAAGTATTAACCTCCCTTAGCTTTCACTCTTGCCCTTGACTCAAACAGTCAGTTTCTTCTTTATAAGGCAATATTAGTCTGCAAGTTGAACTTCTCTATTCTGACAGGTACAATATCTGACTGGACCGATAATAACTGGGTCTATTCGACCAGGCGGCTAGCCAAGCAATTTCAGATATATCAGGCGCATTGAATGCAGCTTGACACCCTTGCTGCAAGCATTGGATTATCCCCCTTGCTGTCATTGGTCGGCAGATCTTGCCACCATAGTTCGTCTGATGGGCATGCAGGGGTTTGCGGCAGGTCTGCTGCGGCGGCGGCAGCGGCAGTTTACATATAGCATCTGCGACCGTCTTATATATATTGTACACATCTTTTTACCCATCTCGCTTTATGACACACCAAAGCCTTTTCGCATATGGTGACACTACCCACTTCTAGTGATCACAGCCAAATATTTCCTACCTGCCCTTTCAGTGCATTTCTCTAAATAATTGTTTTACCTTCCTAAATTGTCGTTGACCATGAAGGAGAAAGTGACCCTGCGACCTTTGCGACCGGCGGTGAAAGCCTTACACGCTGAACCGAGCTATAGCAATCCAAAAGCAAAACGGCAGAGCGTCGCATGCAGAGCTTGTCGCGCAAAGCGGATAAAGGTTTGTTTACCTCGAATATTGTTTACTGTGAACTTTACTGATGGGTTAGTGTACTGGTGCACCAATTTGCCAGTCATGCATGATGTTGAAGTTAGCTTGTGACTTTGAGCCATACAGAGACAAACGCAGGAAATTGGCGCTACAACATGTAGAGAATGCCAAGCAGCGACTTGAGATCCTTCTTGAGCTTCTGCTTGCATTCTTAAGCAAAGAGAAAGACGAGACGATCCTTGAATGGAAAAAATGCCTGAAAGACACTCCATCACTTGAGATGATGATCGCAGACCTTGAAAGAAGGAAAGAACCGGGCCTATGATCCCATCGGCAATGATGGTATCTCGTTAACCCATAGCCGCTATTGTTTCATCTCTTGTGCGCTCTTTCTAGTCACGCACGAGATTAAACAAGTGTTTAATTAGCAATGCGGGCCTATATTATAGTTGTTATAATTATAACCACCGAAATTTTGCCTAGCAGGAAAGCCTGGTACGTTCTTCGGCCTCCTGCTCTTATATACTGCTTCTCATTCCCTTCATGTGTCATCTGCGATTGTATGACAATGTTTCGCCTGCTTAACATGTTTCCTTATATCTCTGACCCTCGCGTTCCCGGACGCAGTTGAACTCGTAGTGCCCGGTGAATGCATCGTAGAAATGAAGATATTCAATCGTTGACGGAATTCTCTAGCTGTGGTATGAGCCTAAGTCACCCACATTGTAATAAAGAATCCTATGTAGGCGTTAAACTTTTGCTCATCGAGTGTAGTTTAATAAAACATTATAATACAAGTTAGTTCTTACAAGGATCCTTTACCGGTCTAACCATATAAGAACTATTTTAATTAGGCTATATCTGATGGATGACTTTAGATAGACTTGGACAGGTAGAGTGGTTTTGCAAGGCACTGTGTCCACACATTATGCGAGATAATTTTTAGTGCTTTGACTAGGGTCTTCCTCGTAGGGATACCATAGTCGCCTTATAAAGGCATCCAGCTCGGCAAAGAACTCTTCGATTAAGTTCAGATCGGGCGAGTACGGCGGCAGACTATTAGTTTTACCCCTTCTAGGAGCATAACTGCTCTGATCGCTCAGAGTGATGAAATACAGCATTATCTATCACAAGCACGGATCTCTCTCCTAGGTACTTCCTACAGTATCGAAGAAGATATTCAATGAACTCCATAAACACAACTGCGTTTGTTATGTTACTAAAGATGCAAAATAGGCCAATACCATCCTGGGAGTACGCAGGGGAGTCTGGTAACGTTGATCGCGACAGAACTGGGATACTTGCACTGGTGCAATACTACAAGGGGCCTAGCCCGTGCGTTTAAATTATACCCGTCTGTCACACCCAGGTTCGTCAACATATACCAGTTGGTATGACTTGATTCAGAAGTGTCTCATATATTTCGTCGCGTAGATCGGGCTTCTGCTCTTTTGCTTTCTGAACCATCTTTTTGGACCAACCGACCGAGAAAAGCGCCTTGCTTATGCTGCTGGTTGCTACTTGCAGGCTAAACCCGTCCCAGACGAAAATTGCCATCTTGTTCCAGGGACAAGACAGGCTCTCAGAGAAGATGCTCGCATAATGCTTTCAGCATGATCAGTGTGATTAATTTCGCTCGCTCAATTCGAGTTGGTGGCGTTCTAGGACTGAAGACCCGCAGGTTGGAGCGGGTATGTTTGACCGTCTGCTTACTACATTTGGCAGCTTTAGCGGTTTTCATGATAGACATGCCGCAGCTCGTCTTGGAGCAGATAAGCTAAATTTTTGATGGTGATAGGTATGGTGTCGTTGCTGTACAGCCTTAGCACAATAGCAACTTAACAGTATGTTTGAAGAAAAAGTCGTAAAGCATTAGTGAGGTGCTCCGGTCTGAGCGTAGCCTGGGCACGGAAGCTTCTAGATTCCGGTATTCTACATGAACTACTAAGGTCGAGAAGTAAGGTCATTAGAGTTACAAACCAGATTATTAGTGCCAAGAGCACTAATATACCAGCCAAACCGTATGCAGACTAGTGTAATAATGCTAGGGATTGGGAAAGAAAAATGGCGACTCTGGGTAGGCATGGTGATTGTGCAAGATACTGTATTCAATTGCCTCACATCTCGAACAAAGACAATATGATACTGTAACTACCGGAGATGGTTTGGTTTGGTTTACGTCAGCGTTGCCGTCCCAGCCATCTTCCGTAAAAGAAACCAGCTCTACCTCTACGAGCCCCATCCCTGCTGAAGTCGCCAGGAATGAGCCGTAATCCAATGTCTTTGCGACGTAATTCCGCCCTAGATGTTATTTCTTCAGAACAGAAACTTCCTTGCCAGCCGCGCCATGCTGACAAGTTTGCTCCCAGTTTTAGGTAGATCCCATGAACGCGTGTCCCATGGCGAGGCGATTCTCAAGATATGTCATTTCTGGGACAAGGTGTCTCATGAACCAACAGTTGGTTCCTTGGCAGCACGAGAGGCCAAAAGTGCTGAAGCGCTGAAGCGCTGAAGCAGGAGGATCCACTATAAAACCAATCAGACGCACCAAGAGTCGTGCTGACAACGCTAGTATCAATTACATTCTCAGCCAGACAGACTCATGGCCAATAAAAGCCTGTTTTGTTGAAACTGGACCGTCGGAAAGTAACCCGCCGCAAGGCTGTCCTTTTATTGCTCAGTGCCGTGCTCTCTTCCACACCAACTTTCTCTTCTTTCCCGCTCTGCTCCAAGTTGATACTGTACCGGCGCATCTATAAATGATCTTATATTGGGAATCTGATTTATTTTCTTCAATATTTCAGCCTTGTTCCGACCATGCCTCCAAGCACAGAGCCAACAGACACCGCCACCAGCGGGGGCCGCGACGAAACTTCACCCGAGGCACGGCCAGATGCTACACCAGCCAACCCCGCAGTCGCGGACAGGGAAAGACGACGGGAGAGGAAGAGACAAGCGAGACGGAGGAGAGAAGAGGCAGGCTACATATTAAAGGATCTGCAATCCGGAGAGCGAACACTCTACCTGCAAGAGGTGCCGCGGGTCAAGGCCAGCCACTGCAGAGCGTGGGACTGCGCGATTACGAGACTCGCTCGCTCGCCGATTATCCGTTCCCATTATCGCTTTGCGCTGAAGGGTGACCGAAATATGTATTATGGGGGTATTGTGTATCGCCTTTCCTTATCTCCTTATCCCCTAGAACGGTTCTTATTCTTAACTAACTGTGTGGCTGACTGGCTGACTGACGATTCGTCCCCAGAACTCATCCAGTACTACCACATTACCTGTATCGAGCGCCTCATCCCCAATCTCGCTGAGCTCGTCGTAAACGGGCATCTAATACTAGACGGCTGGGTATCCGCGCCTCTAGGTGGCTCCATCTCCATCAAATCCTCCACCCAGGCTATCACAGACTGGTTCGAACATGGCGGACGCACGTTTGATATACAGTGTTACGAGAGGTTCAAGGCGGACCACGAGGAGTGGATTAGTGAAACCAGTTTTCGTAGTATCGAGCATCAGCTAGTGCATGAAGACGGAAGATCTGGAGTTGACTGCTACTACTGTGAGGGAGGGCCGGCAGAGCCCAGGGAGCCCATGAGGAGTGATTATTTCCCTACAGAGCCGGCGGCTATCTCGCTGAGTCGGTTGTTGGCGGTTGTCAGCGACGAGCCGCATATCGATGCGTGGTGGTGCTGGAGACGGGCGAAGAAAGGGTCGGAGACGGAAAGGGACGCCCCACTTTCTCCAATACCAGCGGTCTAGATTCAGTCCGAACCTAATGATTCAAAGCGCTTACGGCTTTTTGGCTATGTTATCGGAACAACGAAGTAAATTGTGGCTCTTAGATAAACCCTGGTCTTCTCGCCGCCAAGACTGCCACGACTGGAGATTCATGGAAAGGTAGCCTTGGGGGCCCTGGGGAGCAGATTGCCCTGGGGAATAGATTGCCCAGCCAAGTTTCCATTACTCATGAAGCGTCTGATGATGTTGAGACGAATGTTGAGGGGCAGCCGTGGTGCGTGCTGACTGCATCATCTGGGTATGCTCTATTTTTCGTCAATAATTGCTCATAAGAGTCCTTGTAGTCATTCCTTTCGAAAGAAGTTATCGCGCCTTGCACTACCACCTTGTCTACAGTAGAAATCATTCGTTTACCTACATTTCGTAGTGGCCCCCATACATCGAAACCTTGGTTTCTGGACTGCTACGGGCTAATGTGACTAACTGCCAAGATAATCGATTGCTTTCCACATAGCACAATAAGGTTCTAAATACGCTAGAAGGAGCAACGTTCCGTCTCAGAAATTTGCCGGTAGTAAACGCCCAAGTTGAAGCTAGCCAGAGTTCTAGGTGGACAATCACATTGCACTCGAGAGTTGTAAATAGCGTTTCGGAAAAAGGAGAATATATCTGCATATCCGACTCTGACAAGCATACACACATACAAATGAAAATCGCGAAAACAGTGAAGTGACGATGTGCGCCGCGTTAAAAATTCAATAGATTCAGGGCTCCTCCAACCAAATGCAGGCTTCCCGTCACAAAGCATTGAGCTCCACCAGATTCAGCAGCGATTTGTTCCGCAAGCCTTATCGCCGCTTCAATTGTTGGCTTACTCAAAACTATCGCTTCAGGATCGAGCCTGCTCCAGACCGCAGCATATACAGAGCAAAGATCGGGAAAAGGCTTTTCGGGTACCTTGAGAGTTTTGTCTAGGAGTAATTTATCAACGTGGAAACAGGGAATAGGGCTGTAGGCGGAATCTTACCTAGCCTGCTAGTTCCATCATCCCTTTCATTATATGTAGTGAAAATGACATGTTCTGGCTTCGCACCCCGTGCTGAAAGCGCATGAGCTAAACACTCCACCAATACCCTACCGTCCCGTTCCTCCGAGAAGTGGCTAAATATTAGAACACGACATCTGTACAATGTGGTTAATGGTCGACATCTCTCGTTTTCTTCCACACTAACTGACCTGCGATGATTCAAGGCACCGGTATTCTCTGAGAACCATGCCGCCGCTTGTTCGAGGCTCAAGGTATTGTGGGCACCGTCTAAAAACCAACGACAGAGGCCTTTCTCTATGATCTGGAATCTGCCACCCCAGGAAAATCTGTCGACGGCGCGAGAAATATCCTCGGCATTCAACTCGTGTCCAGGTGCTTTGACTTGCACAAATTTTCTGACCAATTCGACAGCTAGTGAGCAGTTCAATTTTTGTACTGTAACACCCAACACTTTCGAATTGTCAGGAAGTGAGGTATTGACTGAGACAAACTCCAGATGTGTCCGTTTCTCGGCCGCACGGTTCCGCAGCATTCGAGCAGCAACAGCCTCCTGTTCAAGGGAGAACGCAGGCACCCCAGTTTTGAGGATTCCTGCTTTATGCCAGGCAATGTCTTCTAGCGTAGGTCCGAGTTGTGCTACATGATCCATGCCAAGAGATGTAACCCCAGTCACAACGGGGTTTTGGACGACGTTCGTGGCGTCGTACTCTCCACCGTGGTGTGTTTCAAATATTGCCGCTTCAACATTCTCCCTGATAAACGTGTGGAACGCCAGTATTGCCAGAAGCTGCAAATATCGGGGGAGTCTAGCACCTTCTTTACCATTGGAAGGGTTCTGCGTTATGATGCGATCCCAAACTTCAAAGAAGTATCGAGCAAAAATCTCTTCCGTGATGGGTCTGTCGTCAATCTGTATTCTCTCTCTGATACATTGCAAATCAGGAGAGGTGTATAATCCAACTCGACTTGGAAAACCTGTCCTCAGACCATGCGCACGAAGGAGAGAACGAGCGAAAGCACATGTGCTTCCCTTGCCCTTCGTACCAGCGACATGAATTATATTGAGGTTGTTCAAATCAGACTCCTATCAAGAGTGAGAACAAGTACGTTGCCGTACGAGTTGACATGTATACCGTATGCCCTAGCATTTGCAGCCACTCCTCCATCCCATTCAGGCTAGGTACACCCCTAACTGTCGGGGTATTGCTCGGGGGCGCTCCAGTTTGCTGTTGGAACGTTGCGGCAGGGGTTGTCGGTCGCGCTTTTCGCCTTCGAGTCTCCAGGAGCTTGAGTGCATTCTTTTCAAGTCAGTATCGAGAGCAGTATATTGCTGGGGAGTAATACTTCATAATTACGCTTCATATTGCCAATGTGCATGGGTACCTGACTTCAAAGTCACTCCGATCATTGCTGTGACACTATCTGTGAGATTAGCAAGGTGTGATTATGGTCTCCAGTCCAGAGAGCCCCTAATCACGTGCAGGCGCCCCGTCCGGCTAAGCAGCTGCTGAGCGACCCCACTCCAATTATTCCGTTCACCAGACAAACGAAACAAGATAATCGTCGTTAGCATGTGGTGAGATCATCTCGTTCTCCAAACCTGCGCTGTTACTGACGCTGTTAACGGTCTAGATAATGCGACAGCTGTGAGCTAAAGTAAGGCCACTTGCCTGTTTCCTTTGCTCCGACTATGTCGAATCCGTCTGCCCCTCCCGAAGATTTTATCGGCGTCAATGGATCGATGGAGCCCCTAAATACTTTTGCGTCATGGTTGAGTGTAGCCGCAATGCAGGAACACTGGCGGCCCTATCGTGGAAGCAGTGTAGTGGAACAATGCAGTCACCCGGATCGGGCAACTAAGGTTATGCCTCTCATCAAGGCTGCGAACATTGAAGTGAGCTCAAAATCCCTTTGTGTCATGTTGCTTTCTTACTGAGTACACCTCTATCGCAAGACCAGGGGAAAGGCGGCATTTCTCATTCGGTGTCATGGTCCTTGCAATGAAAGCCTCGGGCCAACGAACTTTGAAACATTCCCAGGCGATCTGTTGATTTTAAACCACGGCAAACGGCTCTCATCAACTGCAGACGGGAAGCCTCTGGTCATGGGTAGATGGCTGTCGTTCAATCAGGCAGTCAATCTTGAGGTCGCCTCAGGAGAGGTTCTGTATCTGCTCGCCATTTTCACGAAGCGTTGAAGGTGTCCAAGTCAATGCCATAATGTTCGAAGGCAGAATTGTCCGCATCTTTTTCATAGTAAGATATCGCATCGATGTGGTCGAGATCAATTCTGAAGTTTTCTGTTGTCTCCGTTAACTGCATCCATTTCTTGTCTGAATTTCTTGCACATACCCGAGTCTTGCCATGTGCCTCCAAAGTCCGATGTAACGCCCGTTGGGTAAGGGTATCCTGACAGTAAAAGATTTTAGCACGGTTCCCGCAGTCTGTAAATCACACACTCGTGGCTCGCACAAATCTGTGCGTCGTTTCTCCTTTATTTCTTGGACCACCGCAGGATGGGGATATTGTGTACCTGTGACAGGTGCGTGTGCCACATTCGGAACAGGTTCCGAGAAGACAATTTGTGATTTGTTCTGGTCGGCTCCTGCCAAATTTGCAGCAGGATGGCTAGTGGCGTTTGGGGTGCTGTAACAGCGGTGTGTGGATGCTTGATCACAGGGGGCAGCTCTACTTAGTGTCTCAATCATATGAGGGGTAGACCTTGGACATGGAACATCATGCTCATCAGGTGCTTTCCCGAGTTCAACACCTCCGGTCCTAGGAGGCGATTTTTTGACCGAGCATTCTGCAAACCGCCCTTGACCAGCAACTTGCTCTTCTATCGTATTCGGTGGTTTATTGGCACCATCAGACCAGGGGAAACGCCGACGGGATCGAGGTGCTGGAATGCTCTTCTTCTTTGATAACCTTGGCGGTTTTCTCCTGCTTAAAGTCTCCACGATAAAGATAAAGTCGCGGTGTGGTTCGATGTCGTCTATGGACCTTAAAAGAGCCTGCAGATGCTGTTCTGGGAGGTGCCTGAGTAGTGTCATGACCTGCTTGTTATCTGTTGCTGCAGTTGCGAGAGCAGCTACAGCACGAACACCGCCATGGTTATAGAATTCCCCTTCCAGCGAACGTGAGTCCGTCCTCCCAGTTTTACATTCATTGACGATGGTATGTAGTCGATATGGTGTTCTTAGCCGGCTGGATTGAAGGGATCGGCGGAAACAGTCTCCTAGTTGAAGCCGAGCTAATATGCCTTCGTCCATTGGACATAGAAGAAAGGCTTCAATCAGAGCTTCAATGACGAGGCGAGGGTGCTTCTCCAAGGCGGCCTCGATCTCAAGCACATCGTCATTAAGAACTGCCTTGAGTTTGAAACCCGGCCGGGCCATTGCTTGTCTAAGGATGGTTGGCAAATCTGATTTTAAGATGTTTGGGGCAGTAAGTAGCTTCTTGGGGGATTTGACGAGGAGAAGGTGGCTTTTAGCTACTTCGGTATTGTAGAAATTGGCGGCAGCCAAAATCTCCACGTCTGAAATTAGTACTAGGCAGTATCTGAGTGGATTACTTGGCATTGTCGCAGCACTCCACGAACGCCAACGTACATCCAATATAAGGGTAGAAATATTTAACAAATGCAGTAGCCCATGTAGTCAAATTTGTTTCGATTCCCACTAATATATGTCTTTCACTTGATAATGCTTCAAAAGGTCCAAGCCACATACTGCCGTTGCTGAGAGGGATAGCCAGGCTGGTGCACATACCACTCTAATTGTTACGGTTCGCATTACAACTCCGCCGACAATAGTCTATGCTAGACTGCATACACCATGAAATTGCCTGCTTTTGTGGCTTCAATTCATTATACTTTGAGAGTGCATCATGAGTTCCTATACTTACCATTGTACTAACACATCAGTCTTTGCGTGTTATCACGTGACCACGATTGTTTGCTAATACCGTTCAAGTCCAGTCTGTACGGACACAGCTGGCGCCTTTCCACCGTACACCGCTCGGCAGATTTTATCCCCCTGGCAGGGGTCCTAGTATTAGCCTGGTTCGGGCGGGACGAAGCCGCCCCTCCCCCCCCCCCCCCCCCCCCAAGGCATTCCATTCAGGTGTGATAAAACTATACCCTGTGGTTTCTTCCGTCGGCGCTTATGGGGGCCTTCGGATTGGTGATTGCTTGTGTGATAGGTGATCTTGGCCGTATCTCTTCGGCGTATGGTGTTAGTACACGTGTCGTCCCCTGGCATAAGTGAGATGTATTTAATAGCGGATGGCCCCTTTTATTAACGTTTTTATGATGTTCTGGATGCGACTGCAAACAGTTACAACATCATTATGACGGGCGCAAATAAATACGGAATCACAGTTCTCTACGATCCTTCATCCAACAGTAGAGAGGGCAAAATACATAAGCAGGGAGATGTCGTGTTCGAGTAAGGATTTTATCTTCATTCTGTCCTTTGTGGAGAGTAAAAAGCCATGAGACAGAATGATCCCGCAACATAAGTCGAGTTAATAATGACTAGCTTGATAGTTTAGTTGCTATTCATGGCTTGAACGGCGATCCCTTCGACACGTGGACTCATCAAGACACGGGGGTCATGTGGCTGAGGGATCTCTTGCCTGAAGCATTACCTAACATTAGGATAACGACTTTTGGCTTTAATGCTCGCTTCAAAAATTTTACCGCCCAGCAAGACCTACGCAGTATATCATTGAAACTACTCACTGAATTGGCAGACATAAGATCAGCCGCAGATGTAGGAAATAAAATCAACTTGGTTGTGTTTATGATTGTGTTGCTTTTGCTAATTTGATACAAAGGAGAAAATCCGGCCCATTGTGCTCGTTTGCCATAGCTTGGGTGGAATTGTCGCAAAGAAGGTACCTGATTCCAGACTCTGAAGCTTAAAGCACTGTCTAACTCTGGCTGAAGGCTTTATTGATTGGTTGTTCTGACGAACAAGAAAAAGTGCAACAGGCAGTGTATGGAATCTTATTTCTTGGTATGTAGTTGTTCTATCGAACCCTGATGGTACTTCCTAACAACCTGCAAGGTACCCCGCATAATGGCAGCAACCTTGCTGTCATGGGCAAACTCATGGCAAACATTGTTTCAGCATGCTCGCCTCTGAGACCTCCACGCGCTCTTATTAGGGACCTACAGAAGGACTCTGAGGTCTTACTAGAGATCACAGAGGACTTCGTGAAGAGAAGAAGGACGGTACATCTCGTTTCTTTCTACGAATTGGAACTTACTTCTATCGGCCCATTCATTAAGAAAATGGTAGTCACTACCCCGAGAGTCATTCGCAGTCTTGGTGTTAACATTTACAGCAGATTGTAGAGCAGCAATCTGCAGTATTGAATGTTCCTCACGAGATCACAGTTCCTCAATTTGCTGATCACCGAAATATTGTGCGATTCAAATCTCTCCAAGATCGCTCTTTTCGTCCTGTGGTTAGCCGTCTGAAGGAATTTGCTGGCACTCTTCATGACGTCTTCACTTTGAAGAAAACGTCACATATACAAAGAGGTAGGTTACTGCTTAGTAGCATCGCTTAATGATAGCTAATGCGAATAGATCCCGCTATTCCCTTTGACATTTCAACCGTACCTTGTTCGACTCTATTTGGTAGAGCTGACATCCTCGAAACAATGAGGATGTACTTCGATCGCAACAAAGGGCAGACAAGATCGATATTTGCCCTGTGTGGTCTAGGTAAGTTATTAACTTCGTTGTCCGATGGTGGTTGCTGACTTAAGAGAAGGTGGCTCAGGAAAGACACAGACTGCCTTACACTATCTCCTCAAGAACACTTCGAAATATAAGAGAGGAGTAGCTTTTCTGAACGCAAGCTCCATTGCATCACTAGAAGCGGACTTTGATCGATTGCATGATCTTCTCCACCTTGGCGATTCGAAGAGCAAGACGACTTCTATCAAGAGCTGGTTGGCGAGACCTGAAAACACCGAGTGGCTACTTGTCTTCGATAACGCTGATGATCTAGAGTCAGTCCCTATACAGAAGTATTTACCCGCCGTCAATTGGGGCCATGTTATCATTACTAGTCGTGACCAGGGACTTATCGGGACTGTAGCCAACGAGGGTCACATACTCACACCTCTGGCGAACGAAGATGCGGTGCAGTTGTTACTAGAAAAGGCCGGTATCCAGCAACCTTCTCAAAGTGAAATTGAGGATGCCAAAACCATTGCTGAACTCCTTGGATCGCTTCCCCTGGCTCTAGTGCAGGCGGGAGCATTTGTACGCTCACGTCATAGGTCTCTAGCAGATTACCGGAGACTTTACTCGACACGCCGACAGGACCTACTCCGGTTTGTCTCACGTCTGGGAGACACGGAAAAAGCAGTCTTAACAGCATGGGAAATTAACTTCAAACAACTTGAACAAGAATCACCCGATGCAATCAGCGTTCTTTTTCTCTTCTCATTCTTAGAGCCAGCAACCATTTCTGAAGTAATTTTACACCGAGGGACCTCTTCCCAAAAAAGGTGGAACGAGTACGGTGAGGTGACGGAGATCCGCGCAGAGGACGAAGGAGTGGATGCCCGTTTATCAAGGGTTATCCAAAGTGACTTTGACTTTGACGTGGCCGTTGAGAAATTGCTCTCCTTTTCGCTCATATCCTGCAATGTTGGGCCTAATGGATTCCGAAACTTTTCTATTCACCCATTGGTTCAGTACTGTGTGATGCAGCGAATGTCGCAAACAGAATTGAACAGCTGGCGAAAGCAAGCCCTTCTACTCATTTGCCATGCATTTCCGAGGAACAGGTACATTGAGCCACTGTAAGTTATGTACGCCACACCCATTAAAGGATAAAATCTGACATGTTCACAGTAACGGAGAAATGGGAAGAGTTATATTACCTCATCTGAGCCGCGTACTTGCTGAATATGACGCTATCTGCATAGAAGATGGAGAGCAAGGTTGGTTCCAACGCGAACTCGCATCGACCCTTATTGCTGCATCACGCTTTTCAAACGCAAATTGGAAGGTTGAAGCGATAAGTCGCGCCAAAAATTTATTGGAAGATGGAAACGATCTTTACTTACATGCCTGGCTTGCGTACCGAGAGAGTTCAATCTTGAGGATGTCAGGGAAGCACGAGGAATCTGAAACCGCCTTGCAGCAATTTCTGCGTCGTGTGTCTTCTGAGGAGGAAGAGAAGTTGACACCGAGACTCAATTCGCATCGTGGTGACCTCATCATATCCTATTCTGAGAATCTGATTCGCCAGGGCAAACTCGCTGAAGCTAAAGCGGAATTGACCGAATGGACACCGCTGCATGCAAATTACTCTACTCTTGAAAGAATAACCTTACGAGCGCGAGACATAACTCTAGGTAAGGTTCTTCGCTTCCAGGGTCTGTTCAGGGAGGCTCTGGACTTGCTTGAGGGTGTTCTTCGGGGTAGTCTTCTTGACGATTTCTTTGAGGGCTCAGGTTGGTATCGAGCTCTGGTCTCTGGGGTAGCAGAGTTGCATTGTGAACTAAACCAACCATCCGATGCCGAAAATCTCCTCCTACGAGAATTGGAACCAATGAGGGAAAAAAGAACTCAGGACATCAGCACGGGCCGACGCCTGCAGTTATCACTTGCAGAAGTGTACCTGCTACAGCACAGGTATGCGGAAGCGGAATCACTTCTATTTGCCCTCCAGCGTGCGTTTTCAACCTCTGGCGCACCAGACTATACTGCACAAGTCAATAGCTTCCGTGTCTGGGTTTCACTTGCGAGGATCTCTCATTTACAGTCACACTGGGAAGAGGCGCTACCACGATGGAAAAGCGCATTGGTAGTATTGGAGCAGATTGGACTTGGGGGAGGTTTTAACGCTGGCATTGTACGATGTTCAATTGCTCACATACTTTTGATGACTGGCCGTGAAGTTGAAGGAACGGAAACACTCCAAGCGGCAAAGGTAAATCTTGCGTCAGAACCCCGTGTCTTCTGGATTGCTGTGTTCAATTCACAATGGTGTGACTTCATCCTAGGCCGCGTCAGGCCGTGAAACAAGACTGCATAGTTGTACTCTACAAGCGCAAGGAAATGTTACACTTTCCTGAGTTTAATTTAGAGTACTGTGTTTAATGAATATGCCGCGTGAAGATAGACGTATTACACTCAATACATTAAAACATCGATACATGAACACCTGATAAGATCATAAGATTATTAGACAGACCAACAGTCACGTGCCAACACTAATAGTAATCCCTGAATGACGCCGGAGTATATGACCTCCACCCCACACTACAACGGTTTGAACCACAGCCCTAGGCGACGATAACCCACATGACCGGGACATCCTACTAAAGCCAAGTACTAGGAATTATTAGGCATCAGTACTCTTGCGAATACAGGCGTTTGTGGGGCAAGTACACTGGCTCTAACTAACAGTGACTAGTTGGCAGTGCGTCAACAGCTTGTTGCAGCTAGCACCTTCAGCTATTTAGAAGGAACCTCGTTCACCACTGTTGATCATGGCATGGATTCTGTGTATGCATATGATACCCATATCAAAATTCACCATCTTCCAAACGGGCATTGGATTACAAATAGCGATACTTCGTTGATAACTCGGAAAATTCTATAGAATCTGGTGGTTGACCAGGTACAGTCACTCCTACTTTCTCTGTTGACTTTGAAACGGCAAATATTAATTCATGCTTGTAAGAATCTAACAAAGCCATAACTACAGAAATTTCGTCACGTTGCTTTAAAGAGATTGCGACTTCAATGAGAGGATAGAAGTGGGTTTTGTATGTATTAATCTTGGCAATAAAGTCCAAACTCTCTTGGGTCCTGGCTTTTGGATATATGTTACAACCGTATATTTGTTTGGATTGTTACTTATATATAGCTTGTTTGTGGCATGCTTCGGATCTGTCTTCTAAATAGTGCATGGCATCTATCGCAAGTTTCACGAGTTGTCGGCGTAGTAGGATATAATGCCATCAGGAGATAAGCAAGGGGCTTCTAGGGCGACGGGGTCAGTCAGTCTTTAGCTAGTTAAATTGAGCAGCTCTACTGGCTGGGAGGTCGGGAACATGTCGCCAGTCATGTGGTAGCAGACCCTACGCCAATAAGAACGGGCCTTTACCCTCCAGTGCCTTACCTAATCTCTCTGTTTCACTTGTGGGTAGCTCAAAATCCGAGGTTCCTGTTCCACCTTCCCTCAAGAGATACCGGCTGTCGCCGTTGTCGTTGGATACCCTACACTCTAGCAGACTAACGATGGGCTTAGGTCCATATCTCACCTATAATGGTATGGACTACGAATGTATAATGTGTGAAAGGACTTTTGTTTCTCTTGATGCGCTCTATGACCATTGCAGACAGACTTTACGGCATGAGTGGTGTGAAAGGTGCCGCCGAGTGTTTGTCTCAAAATCATCTAAAATCTCGCATCTTCGAACGTCCAACAGACATCACTTTTGTCCATCTTGTCCTAAACCAAGAGACTTCGAGTCCAGAGAAGAGCTCGAAGACCATTTAGTGGACAATCATCACGTTTGCCTCGATTGCAACATACATCATGGTTACGCTGGGCAACTCCAAGAACACGTCGTTACCCAACACCACCTTTGCACATTATGCGATCGCTATTTTAGTAATGAGAACAATTTACGAATGGTACGTGCACTTTTACTAGTGTGAGCCAAGTATGAATAGTGCTAATAGTATGTCTCTTCAGCACCAGCAGAGTCACCAGGCGCGAACCATGGAATGCTACGGCTGTTACCGGACTTTCAGATCACTTTCCGGAATGTTTATCCACTTGGAGGCTGAGAATTGCCCGTCAAGTACTACTGAGGAGGAGGTTGACAATATAGCCCGCGAATTTTACCAAAGCTGGAAGTACAGAATTTCTGAGGATGGAGGGTGGCTATACAAGTGTCCAAGCTGTGATAAGGAGTTTTCAAAACTATCTGCGCTGTACCAACATGCTGAGGATGTCCCAATGTGCTCCTCTCTTGTCAGTGGACATGGTTGCCTGGCTAAACTGGAACAATTCATGGCACGCAGTCTACAGCAGCTAATATATCCTTTCTTGTTGTGCATTTCTTATGGTGCAAAATATACGATTACTTCCTTATCTTTGCGCCTGCAGTCATCCCAGTACAACATACACAGGACACAGATGCGCCGTTCCACCAAATCGATGCACCATAAGGATGATCTAAGAAGCGTGGCGTAGAGCTAAATATCCCGTTGTCTCATTGCTGTATGATGTACAAGGCAAGATTTGTTCCAAGGACATCTTCATTTCTTGGCCTAACATTAATTGCTTTGTTCGGACCTACGCGCAATCCCACTACACCGGCGACCGGGTATTTTCCGTGCGGGGCCAGCGTCTGTCATACTGTTGTTGCAAAGTTATAGGCTAGATGTTGCCCCTCCTCTAATGGGAGGGGAATCTACTTGGTGGTTGTCTCAATCATGCCAATGATTAACAGAGCAAAGACTTTAATGCGCTGCATAGCCTTGGATAATGGAGCCCGACATATCCGGGCGCTCCGATTAGACGTGCTGGGCCAGTGATCCACAGAAGCTATTTTCGTTTGAACTGCTGGAGTACTCGGCCAAGTTGGCAGGGTCAAAGCGCCGCCAGGATAAGCGACACGTTGCACAACCCCTTCGTTTACTTGCTGAGCTGTAAGTCCCATGAGTCAAACATGTGTTAATCTTTCCAACCCGACTGCCTCACTCTAATTTTGGTCAGATATGAGTGGTTTCTAGCAGATCAAAAGCAGAATACTTTCGAGAATCTTATAACCTGCAACCCTGTAAGCAAGAGTGCGCAGATGCGTAGTGACAGTACCACAGATGTGGTAACCATACAGACCATGCCACAACAACACTACCTATGGCTTTCTATCAAATGGGCAATTCAGTCGCCAAACTACTTTCCACTTGAGAGCTAGTAGCATCGAAGAGCTGAACACCAACTATGACAGAGAATGGACAGGGTCCGCGGCTCACTATAAGAACCAAGGTCGCAAACTGC